TAACAAAAATTCCATTTGTTAATTGTAATATCGTTTCTCTTTACCCACTTACTCAATATTTTTTTTTTTTTTTTGTTCAAAACAAAAATATTTCATCGATCAATAAACAATTACAATCATTCATTTCGCTTTAAAAATAAAAAAAAAAAAAAATTGGATGTGTTATTTGACCTAAATGGTTGTAAGAAAGATAAAAATTTAAAGAATCAAAGAGTAAATAAGAAAAAAGTGTTAGAAAAGTTGAGAGATTTTCACAAAATTTTATCAAAATTTGACAAATTTAATTTATGTATACTGATATGAATTTAAAGAGCTTCTAATTTAAAAAGAATTGTTAAAAATAGTTCGGCTAGAAGTGGAAAAAAAATTTTTTTTTTTTTTTTTTTGAATTTAAGCTTAGAATGATTAATTAAAATAAAACACTGATATTTTATACCATGCAATTCTCTATCCAATAGTTTCAGTTTCGATAAAAAAATTTTAGGATCAGATATGGTTTTTTTTCTTTCGAATCATGGAATTGTCATTTGATCTGATCTGCGATGAAACCCATTAACTATACATCTTGAATTAATAAATTGTGTAATTAAACCTATAGTTGTACAGCAATTTAGCCACAAACTAACTCCTGAATCAACTTAAAGTGTTAGTTTTTTAGATTTTGAGATGTTGAAAAAGATTAATTTGATGATCACCAATTTATTAACATTAGCGCTGGGTGTAAATTTGTTTGAAAGAAGCATTTATCGTATGGTTTTATTTCTCCTTTAATTCAAAATCTAAAAAATGAAATAAACATTTAAAAGCGAACAACGATTTATCCTCTTGAACATATACTTCAAATATTTGCAAAGTTATATGTTACATCTAACAATCACTCAATGTTCATTTTACTTCCGTTACGAACAGACAAACTACAGTGCAAGTTGAAACCATTTCGAATAATAATTCGTATAATCCTCTTATGTACATTGTTATCAATAGATCAATAATTTGTACATTTTTCTAAATAATCTTGTCAATGCATCATTTACATAAAATGTTAAAAAAAAATTATCTCAAGAAAAAAAAAAAAAATTTGCTTGCTAATATTAGAAGATAATAAGTTTTTTAGAGAAGATAGAAAATAAAAGATATACGATACACTTTGCTAACTAATAGACGCTCATACCATTTCAAAATATTCATATGTCACTGAAATACAACCATAAACTGATCATAACAATAACAGGTTTTCCTATTTTTGTGATTCTGAAACAAACATTGTCTTTCATACCAGTCGAATAGCCAATTTCTTATGCTCTTCGTCTGATTATACGAAACCATCATAAAAAATTTATGAGGTCACTATTATATCATCAACTATCTAAATCAATTTATAACAGCATTAGGACAGAGTGAACTTACAATTAGAAAAAACACTACTCTAAGGCACTTACTTACTTCTCTTTTCCATTTACGATAACAAATAGAAGAGAGTTAAAAAAACATATGCAAACAAATTTAACTTAGTTGCAAAAAGTATAATGATAATATCATTAGCGTTCTTTATGATGAAAAGATAAAATAATTGAATACGAGATCACAAAAGAAAAAACAAAAAACGTAAAAAAGGTGGCACCTGATATAATAGAATGAAAGAATTTATCTTAAAAAAAAAAACCCATTGAATAAAATGCTCACAAAAAGTACGGTGCAACAATACGATCCGGTTTTTCACGTTGATTATCACTAGCTTCGTCAAAATATTTTACTTGACGTTCATTTGAACTTATCTGAAGAATTGCTGCTTCATTACCACAACGATAACAATAGTTTGGCGCTGAAAAGCAAATAATAGAATTCTCTAGCATATAGTCATCAGAGTATCATTATGCAAATTATAAACAATATTTAAAAAAAAAAAGTTTCATAACACTATTAAAAAAATTTGAATGCATCTAACATCCACTTAATTTCATTCCGCTAATTGCAAGCTCTGCAAATGCGGTAAATGAATTCACTTACATTTTTCGGGTTTTTTTTAAATTTTTTCATCACTATTTTTATCAGTGGTTCTTATAGACGATGAACGCAACAATTTCGGCAAACAAATGATGATGAAAAAAAAAAATTTACATTTTACATTTAAAAGTTACTAACAATTAAAACATAAAATGAATAATAAGTGCTATAAAAAAAATATAAGAAAAATGAAGATATTACCAGACCAAACGGTGCATAAAATGTCATCCCAAATATATTTGAAACCTTCTAGTACTAGCTGATGAGACCGACATATTAATGTAAGGTCATTGGTGTGCATAAAACGTTTAGTTACTTCTTGACCGAAAAGCTGAAAATAATCGTTACCAAATAATTAAGAAAGCAGTACATTACATTTCATCAAAACTGCAATAAAATTACATTATATTTAATGAAGTGATAAAACAACAAACCCATCCGGCTCCTCTTGGACTTAGTTCCCATCCTTCTTCCGTTGGCTCCGGATCAGACCACACTAAATCACATAAAGCACCTTTGCTTGGAATTTCAACAGCTCTGAAATAATCAGTATATAACAGAGCAAATCCTTACACTTTTGATTTTTTTTTTTCAATTTTTTCGATATATTGCCTTAGAATCAAAAAACATATAATTCATGTTATATTTTTTTCAAGTTTGCATTATAAAATAGAACATATGAAATACCTGTCTAAAGTAAACATTTTTTCAAGTGTCTTGATCTCTGGTGATAATCCACCATGAACACACAAAATGTGATCATCAATTAAAGCGCCAACAGGTAGCATATCAAATACCTAAAAATTTTGACAATCACATGACTATGTTTTATGATCATTGCTAATACTTATGCCATAAAATATGGACTTCTAGTAATTCGAACCTTACAACAACAGCGCCAAACCATAGCATGCCCATATTTCTGTATACATTCATCATAAAATCCATAAACAGCAGAAATGCGTCGAGATTCATGATTTCCTCGCAGAAGTGTTATTGATTCTGGATATCTGATCATTAACGCAAACAAATATGTTAGTGTTTCCAAGCTATAGTATCCTCTGAAAATTATTATAATTCTTTAAGCAATTACTATAAAGAGGCATTAATGACAAGTTCAAAGTTGATTTGATTTCGAATCTGTAGAAAATTTCTTGAACCGAACCTATCAACATAATCGCCCATGAAAACATATCTTGTAGATGGCACACGACCACCTGTTTCAAACAGTTTCAGCAAGTCATAAAATTGTCCATGTATGTCACCACAAACAGTCACTGGTGAAGTTATTTCAACGACATTTGATTCATGTGACAGACGAGTAACTAACCTGAATATAGTAAAATGCGCCAAAAAGTAATCAATGATTTGTGAAATTTTAGAAATCATTTTATATGGAATCGATATACCTAAATAGCATCCATCTGAACTGCTACTATTTTAAATCTAAAATTTGTGATAGTCCGCCATTTCCAGTAAAGCGATGTTTTTCTCCAATCAGCAGTTCAGATTCCCAATACTAAGATTTGTTAAATTTATTTCTAAAAATACTGAAGAAATTTACATATCACAGAGTAGAATCATCTCATCCTCTGGCAAATATTGACATTTCGAACTTTCTTCTACCCATCTGTCAGCATCAATGGTTAATCCTCTATATTGTAGTTTATACTGCGTTTCATTACCATCACCAACTCCCTGTTGTTCATCTCCTGATTTGGTCATAATCTGAAAATTCTAGCAAGAAAAATATTTATAATCTCAAAATCAGAAGAAATAGTTCGAGAAATATTATCCAGCACATATCTTCCTTGAACTAATGAACCAAGTGCTCCAGAATTGACAGAATTCATAAATTAGTTTGCATGTGTGAATATTTTATAGGAATCTATGAAGATATGAATGAAACTCATAGGTTAATTCACCCCATTCCATTCACGAACTGTTTTATTTTAACATAATTTATGAAGAATTGAAATGTTTCAAACACAATCTTTTATTGTTAAAAATTAGCCTTAAGGAAAAAAATCTGTGGAACTGACAAACCTTCCGGCGTCCACCTCTCCATGCTCTCCGGAACTTACTACTGCGTGAAAACCTATTCTTCTTTTTCTTGAATGGATTCATTTTCGTGAAGCAGAAAACTACTTACGAGCTACAGGAAAGCACCAGTAGACTAGAAACTGATAAAGCAATCAAACTGTTTACTTATGAATTAGATAAATTTTACTAACTAAACGTATGATACAATCTTCCAGTCCTTCTCAATCAATCTCTTTGGTATGACAGGATCGATCTAATATTTTGATAGAATCCTACTGCTCCCCTGAATAATTCTATTTAAACATTGAACGATTGTAGATCATATCTACGAAAAATGAACAGTTATATACCTGACAGACTGATAGAAAAGAACTTCCAGAAGCTAAGATCCAAATCTGAATATGACCTGCTGTAGAGACTTGGGTTAGCGCACATGAAATCTTAATCTTAAAGATGATAAATGTATATAAAGATATGGAAGAAGACTCTTCAGGATTTTTCAAAAAATGAAATTTCGCAATCTAAGGAATTCAAAAAACTAGCTACGCATATTCATCTGCATTTTGAAAGTTATATAACAGAAACGAAAAAAAAAAAGAAAATAATTAAGTGTATTTTTAAATATACGCTGTCTATCAAAAATTTTAAATCTCTAGTGCAATAACATTTACTTTGCATACTGAAAGTAAAACATTTAAGTAAATCAGCAGAAAATAACCAATAACACTATGAAATAGAACATTTTTACGCCATTTATAGGCAAAACACAAAAAAGTCACGGGCAAAATTTAATAGCAGGAAAGATGTACCAAGAAAAAAACAAAGTACCAGACTTTTTTGTTGCACTTTTACCATAAGAGAAACACTTTTTTCTTTGCCGTATAAAACTCTACACTTTAAAACGGATACAAATCAGTAGTAATAAGTGAAACAATTACTAAAATCAATCACAATCACTGTACAACACCGACTTTTGCTGCACGAATAGGTCGATTCTGCAAAGCGTAACCTATTTTTATTACTTGTGCTATGTATCCAGACTCGAATTTTGCCTAAAATAAATTATGTATTAGTGTTTTTAAATCATCAACCATGACTTGGAAACAGATTTTTAAAAAATATTCTTTTTTAAAAGTGTCATTTTTTTTTAAACAAAAGTACCCTCTTTTAACACGTGATCTACAACGAGCAATAGACATATGAAACACAAACAATCTTGTGAAATCTTTTGAAGAAAAATTTAGACCTAAGAGGTCTAAAAGTGGAACCGGTCTTCGAAAGCCTTAACGATTATTAATACAAAACATTAATCTCCCAAATTCTTTATCAAGTAATTTCTGATGAGACAAAAAAAACTTACTTTATCTTTCGGTATTTGAAAAACAGCTTCATGCAACGCTGGGTCGAATTTTTCACCCTCTGGAGAAATTTGTTTCAGTCCATGCTTAACGAATGATTTTTGCAATACTGTTCTTGTCATCTCTAGTCCCTCGAATAAATTTTTTAAAGAAATATTCTTATCCAATTCTTCCTTCTTCACTGCGCCCACTGCGAGATCAAGAATATCTGCTACCTAAAAAAAATCTAGTCTAACAGGCAAATTTTCTTCCTGAGTAGATCAAAAAAATGAAGAAAAAAAATACAAACCTCAAGTAAGTCTTTGCAGAAACCTTGAATAGCAAATACTTTCGCTTCTTCCGTTTGCTTATGTCCACGACGACGCACATTTTCAACTTCAGCTAATGCTCGAGTGTATTTATCCTTAAAATTTCATTACATTATGTCTCGATAAGTGAGCTTTATAAAATAAAATTCCCATATATTTCCGACAAATTTTTAAAAAACAAAACTTTGCTTTCTACAAACATTTTCGATATGCCTTTTTTAATTTGTAAAAAGAAAAAGACATACAAAACTGCTTTTTCTAACAAAGATATAAAGCGCCAGTTTTTTAAAATGTACAAACCGCTTTTTATGTCAAATAAAAAGATGAAACAACATGGCGAAATACGAAGATGCGAATAAAGAGGAATGCTAAATCAATCTTTCATAAAGCTGTACTTAATGTCAGAAATTTGGCCAAGTTAGATATTAGGTGGCAATTTTTGGGAGCGTAAATGCAAGCAATCAGTAGATAGGACATATGAAAATGCTTTTGCTCAACCTACATCAACTTTAACAACAAACTCAGTTTTACTACAATTTATGGAAAGAGCAATGCTACCAATAAGCAAGCTCACAAATTTACCTTGAAACTAGCTACTTCTTCTAACAATACATCATATTCAGTGGCGAGAGCATCAAATGCAGGTCGAGGTATCACAAACTCTTCTTCAGTCTCTGAGACACCAATCGACTTCTTCACTTTCGTAAGAAATTCAGCACCTTAATTGAGGTTTCTTTTCACTCATTACAGTTTCCTAACTTTTTTTTTTTAATTCGAAATCCATAGACCTCTTAAAAACAATAAAAGTGACGGAAAAATATATCAATTATTCAACTCCATCTATTAGATAAGCTTTGTTCTATTTTCTTCACGACAAAAACCAATCACATATTGCATAATCATATGTTACTGTTTCTTCCCTAAATTCTATGCAAAGCCATTTCAAAACTTCAGCAACATATTTCACTAATCAACAATTCATGAGAAAATCGTAGCTGAATTAAATATTAAAGAATACTTGTTAGTCTTGCATTTTCATGTTTTAAGGAGAAACTTGATGCTTCATTAGCTCCTTCCTTTTGCACAGCTGCACTAAATGAAAATCGTGTCGTTGATGTCGGAAAATTATCCTTAAACAACAATCTGAAAAAATAATGGTTATAAAAAAGTTAATAATATTATACTATTTTTTATAGTACTATTTCTTTGATATTCTTGATAAAAAAAAGTTCCTCAAGAAAAAAATGAGCAATATTCCAGTATGTAAGAATAAGAATATAAAAAATGATAATCCAATTTTCCTATTTCATAGTGATCTATTCCACTATCTCTCAGATAAAAATTAAACTAATACTATTGTCTCTTTTCATCCAGTATTAAAAGAATAGTGCAAACGAAAAGTATAAAAGATAAACAACCTTTTGTTATATTGTGTAATTGTTCGTGCTTCTATTCTAAACACACGTATGCTATTTGGCAACGTCAGGCACGTACGTTTGATCATAACCGTTTCACACTGTGAGTACTTCCTCGTCTGTTACATGAAATATGCAATTATTACTAAATCAACAAAAGCTAAAGGTATTATATAAACTAAGCCAAACTTTCCAGAATTATTGTTATGAACATATTCTCTTCTCACTCGCATAATCCAAATATTCTTAAAAGTCATTCCGAGGGAGAAAAAGAACGAGGAAATCACAGATCATCTAGTATTACCAGAAAATGCTACCGATCATCCGAGCTGTATTAGACAATACGGTCCCGCAATGATTTTCCTCCTGATCTTTTTTGTTTTTTTCTTTCGTTCTCCTCTATCTTGCATTTCTCATTTTCCCTAAGTGTTTTATTCATATATTTCGTCTGCTGCGCTACAACGCATTGGATTTTTTTGCTAAGTGTCCGATATGGCGCCATGATAACAGTCCTGCAAGTGTTCACGTCATCTAGGCTTCACGTGCGTCACTCAGAACCTATACGTTACTCAGAGTCAATAGCATTTATGGATTTGCAAATCACGTGTATTACGTCATTCCTAAAGTTCGTAGATAATTATGGTCGTTTATTTGCTATTTAATATTGGAATGCATTTCTTTTTTAAATAAAGAGATTCTATTATGTGTCATTTTAATTCCGTTCTCTTTATTCTCTTATTAATTACTTATTCTGATTATTCGCACTATTAAAATGATTTTAGTTAGAAAATGAGGGAACAGTTTCACTGAGTTTAAAATGGACCATAAAGTCGCTATAATAAATTGTATTGTAAAAGAGATGAGAAACTCGTCTTGACTGTATAATTGGAATTTTATTCAGTGTTTCGAGGCTAATTCGTTTACAAATTACAGTTGCAACAGAACTTTGTATTTATTATTTTGTAATCTTAGGTCAAGAGGTGAAGAAAAGGTATGGAAATGTTTATTTCTATGCTCTATTAACTTATTCCTGGTTGACAAGAATTGACTTTTTTCCTTTAAATCTGAATGTAATGATTTACGAAGTCAGAATCATAATTCTACTTTGTCACAACACGTAAAATCCATGTGCAAGTATAATGTTTAAAGGCTGTTCTTGTTACTTTTAAATGTATATTTCATTTATAGTTATTCTCATTTGTTATTTTTTTTTTCGATGTATAAACGTGGCATCATAACATGCATTAAGTGATTAGATACGTATATTATTATTACTACTATTATTATTATAATATATATATGACGTATAACTAACTGAAAGGTACAAATTCTAGGTGTAGTATTAGTAAACTACAATGTTGTAATTCAATTAAAAATGTTATTCCAACGAGCTGAAAAATCAATCTGGCAAAATTCTGTACGTTTTTTACGAAATAACAAAAAATGGTTACCGAAACCCGAGCCGGAAACATTTGAAAGTAAGTTTAATTAACTGAGATTTAGTAAAAGAATGTTTCGATTGTTGCATGGCTAATGTGAACTTCGCAATGCTAACTTCAGGCAGTTAAGTAAAAGTCTTATTATAGCATTATACTGGGATTAGGATGCCTATCAGAACGAAAGTAGACACTGTCATTGCAGATGTTGTGTTTCCACCAAACGGAGAGTATAAATTGCCAGCAATGCCGGAGGAACCGACTTATGATCCCGCATTGGGTGAATGTAAATATAAGTCATCAAAGCAGCTCGTCAGTATCCGTGGTGTTGAGGAAGTGCATACAGAATTGATCCATAAACAATACGGCCTTGCTGCCGTTGCTGGTGGCTTCATTAGTGCATATGATTTCAATTTTATTCGTGTAAGATCTTTTAATTTTGTTCATTTGTTTTCTAGCTAAAGCGTTGAATCAGTTATTTGCATCATAAAATCTTCCTTACCAGTTATTTTAGGATCTTATCAGTTTACTCTAAGCTGTGTTGACAATCTCTCTTTTGCAAAAGCAGTGTGGTTAATTTGAATTTGGACTTACACTTACTCAAGTTATTAAAATTTATTTGTAGGACCGTTTAAATAGAAATCTTCTAAAAAATCAGTTTGCAATATGGAGAGTTCCGGCACCGTGGCTTCCTCGTACGAAGAGGGCAATTGGGGCAAAAGCGGGTAGTGGTAAGGGGAATATTCATCATTATGTTACACCTGTTCGAGCAAAGAGAATTATTTTGGAAGTCGGTGGTTACATTATGGAATTGGAGGTAGAACGAATTTATTTTCTTATTAAATAAATATTAGAAATGTGCTCATTTCCTTTTTGCTATCACTGATGAAATGAGACGTAATACTTAAATTTTTTTCGTCACCAATTGATAGCTTATATTTTTAATCTACAAAGAAATCGTATCGATTAATATCGACTAGTATTGTATTTCAGGCTAGGGCTTACCTGATGTATCTTTGCGAACGATTCCGTTTTCCTGTGGAATTTATTAGCGAAAAAATATTGGAGGAGAAGAAGCTTCAGGAGAAAAAGATTGAGGAAATGAATGTTAATAAATTTAATTGGGATTTAGCTTTGAAATATAATATGCAAAATTGCCGCAAATGGCTATCGTATTATGATATCGCTTTTAAATGCAAATATACATAAGAATTATGAAAATTTTATATTTTGGTGTTTTGAATAGTTGAAATTTTAAATTAACGACACAAATCTTATTTGTTTTTTAGAGAGAGTATTTAAATGAAATTAAGATTTGATATAATCTTTTTTCAGTGATTGTTTTTAACTATTTTTTTAGTATTTGTTTTGTTGTGTTTGTATATTTTGTGGATAAAATATTTCTTCAATGTAAAGGTGAGAAAGTCCGTTTGTTTCATCACTAGAGACATACTTTGTACAGAGGAATTATAGTTGACAGTGAATATTAAAAAAAGCTCTACGGATAATATTGCTGTCAAAATCATACGCTTTATTGACAAACTGCTGAAAATATATCTTTTGTTTTGATAATTAGTAGGATTTTTAATTTACAGTAATGGATATCAGATGGCATTAGTAGCTGACGAGGAATTGTTGAGCTTTTCATTCCGATGGTTTGTTTTTATTACGGCAGGTTTACCTTTCACTGCCTTATTTCTTTGCATATCATTATCATTAGCATTACATCTGGATGAATCTACTAGAACCCATTGCGGTGTTGTAAATTATTTGCCTTCCATATCGGCTGCTGTTGCATCTTTCTCACCAGAGCGCTATATTTGGAGGTTTTTCATTGCTTTGCATTCTGCACCGCGTATTGTGGCGGCTTTGGCGTATAAGTAAGTTTCCTTATTTATTGCTATATTACTTTCATTTTTGTGGTAATCATTCATTAATTTATTATTTGTGTTATCTTTCATTTTTTTTTTCTTTTCAACAGGAATCTGTTGCTAACATCTCCGTTACGACCGTTAAGTGATCGTACATGGTTTGAATTATCTTGTCAAATAGCATGTTTTTTAAATATCGCTGAAGCTTTATTCCTTCTTCTGTTAACTACCGCTTCATCAGTCGAAAACTATGGTATGTTTTATTGAGTTTCAGTTATTTAAACAATGAAGAATAGTCGTCATTTCAAATGAATATGAATATTTTAGTTGTACATAAAGTATCATTTCTTGGATTTTCTCTCTGCTCAACGATATATATGCTTGTAGCAACGACTCTGTTTCAATATTCTGGTAGACGTCGTACATCTTCACTAGTTAGTTTTCTTTTTTTGTTTTATAATTTCTGCATTAATTGTATTGAAAAATTGAAAATGGAAGATAGCATGATGAAAGATTTGATCTCACAGCAGTCCACTGTATTACTCATGTTTGAGAGAATATTAGTGTAGTGGAATTTATCGCACTTATTTAATATAATGTTGTATCGAATTATCTGTTTTTCACTAGTGATATTGATGTATTCCTAATTTTTCTTTCTTATTTAGGGAGAAAAATCATTCCAATACAAAGTACTTATGTGTTCCATATCAATGCTATCGCTTCTGCTTGCCGTATATTTCTTCGAGCGTCATAATACATATTGTGAGCCTGGGATATATACACTGTTTGCTATTGCTGAATACGTTGTTGTATTAACCAATATACTTTTTCACTGTACCTTACTTTTTGATTTTCACGGGAAATATTTTATCTTGACTTCATCTGGTCCAAACTTTCATTATCAACCTCTGTTGCCGGAATTTAACGCTAATAAACGTTCTACTTAATAATTTTTTTTTCCTCTTTTATTGAACGTTTAAAAGATTTTGGTTGTTTCAGTGAATTTTCAAGGTAATTATAACATTTTGGTGTTATTTACTGTTATATTTATTTATTTATTTTGTATGTTTTATTGGTCCTCTGTGATATTTGTATTATGAATGGCTTGTGATCTGTCTAAATAAATATTTCCTTTTCCTTTTCAAATACTTTTCGATATGCCGATACCATCGATTCAGAGCATATTTACAATTCTTTGTTTTAATTTTTAAATCTTAACTTGATATAATAATGTTTGTTGTTTTTTTTTTTTTTTTTTTCAGGTAGTGTCATGGTGTTTTTCAGTTGTGACAAATGTAGTGAAGCATTGAAAAAGAATCAAGTTGATAAGCATGGATTCAAATGCAGGTACTTTCCGTGTTTTGATGAACCATTTTTGCTGATTACGAATTATATGTAGGATTATGGTTATCATTATGAATTGTAAAAAAAATTTTTTTTGAATGCTATGATCTAAAACATTTTTATGGGAACATTTACAGTTATATTAATGAAGTTGTATTTGGAAATACAAAATTCTTACAAAATTGCATTCATACGGAATGTTTACAAGAACTAATGTGTTCCCAAGTACAACTTTATCATTGATTATTTAAAATTATTAGGTGCTTCTATTATTCTCAGACTTAAGTGGTTCAAAAAAGTTTAGCTGTACTTCAGTCGTAATCGGTAAATACTTATTTCTTGAAAGGGCATGCGTATGACAAATATCTTTATGCTGGGTGGTCTGTGAGAATTCTAAGAGAAGTTTCTTAAGGGTCAACAGTAACACATGATCCACATTCATAATCGTTCGAATGGTAATAGTGTTTGAATGTTAATAATTTTACCTTTACCAGTAATAATTAGATTTAGGCTTAGAACTTATTTTTTAGAGAAACATTTCAGAGATACAACTTACTCCTGTTTGGATTGTGGTCAAGCTTTTTCTATAGGAACCTATAAGAACCACATAAAATGTGTGACAGAGAATAAGAAATATGGTGGAAAAAATTATGTTGAAAAAGAAAATAAAGTAAGTTTTCTAATAAGATTTCAGTAATGTTTCATAGTTGTAAAAGCATTTAAAATATTGGTTTGATCTATTCAAATAAGTTATAGGGTGAAGCAAAACAGAATCGGTGGATTGAACAAGTAGAACGAGCGATAGAAAATGTAACTGATAAGGGATTGAAAGATCTTCTGCAACAGATTCATGGTTTCAACAATATACCAAGAAAAGAAGCGAAGTTCATAAATTTCTTACAAAATTCTATTAGAATCCGGAACCGAGATTTATGTATTAAGGTAAAGCATTTGAACGCTAAATACGACACAGTTTCACAGTTCAAAAGTTCCTCCATTTTTTTATAAATATAATAATATAGGCATGGAACTGTATAAGTGAACAAGCTGAAAAGATACAACAAGCGGCTACTGAGAAAGGAGAACTGAGAAGAAATGGTGAAGGTGGCGATGATCTGAATGATGATAAAGGACTTAATTGTAAACAGGGAGCTTCAAAAAGTAATGGTGAGAAAGTGGAGGAAGTCGAAACTGAGAAAAGGGAATTGAAGAAAAATAGTGTGTATGAACATGATAATAATAATAATGTCAAGCAGGTATGCAGCATTTCGGATTATTTGTTTATCACAAGACGTGTTTTTCCTAATTCTTTTTTTTTTTTTTTTTTGTTTACGCAAATTTATCATTTAATTTGAAATGGACAAAATGCCATGATCGCGAAGTTAGAAGTGATGATTATAGGGGACTCTGATAACAGATGATGTGAAAAAATTCAAGTGGAAACGCGCAATTAAACGAGCTTTAAAAGAAGCAGATAATGGACAAATGAAAATAAAGCGATTGAAGACTAAAGTTATCCAAAGTTATTTAGCAAGTGGTCAATCTAATGGAAGTGATGAAAATCCTGAAACGATTTTTAATGCGAAGTTATGTTCCTTAGGTTTACGTATTGATAATAAAATAGTGCGATTAAATTAGTTAAATGTTATTCGTTCATGGTTGTTGTTGAGTCATTGTTACTACACTATGTGATCATTTTATAACGAATTTTTTTTTTGTGAATTCGAGTTGCGATTAGGAAATATGGAATATAATGCTTTCGTTTTGATGAATTCAAATTAATTACCGAGTACTGATGTCTGATTACAGGTGGATTGATGGTATTGCTGTTCTGGTGGCAGATTTCTTGCTAGTTTCATCGAAATTTTTAATAATCATTCCTTTTTCGGTGGCCATAGTTGTTATTCATGATCTTAGTTGCTCTTGTTTCTTTTTACATGCTACTGTTCGCTGTTTTAACTTTATTCACTATCGAGATGATTGAAAAAGAAACCTTGCAATGTAAGAGATATTAATTTAATGGCTACATATATTCATAAGAAATTATAACTAACTTCTCATTTAAACAAAATCAAGTGTCCATTGTTATTTAAGATGTTTCAGAGATAATATTTTGATATCATTTTCATGATCTTGGTTACAAATTTCTCATCTTTTTCTGTATGTTGTTTTCTCTTCATTATCATACTATTATGTGGCATTTCTAAAAATAAATTTTTTTTATTTTCTTTTTGCCGCAAAGCTTTTTGATTGTGGTTGCATCCCTACGTTATGTTTTTTTTTTTTTTTTTCTTTCATTTTATGGTTCCATGTTTGAATCACTGAATAATATAGGCATGAAATTAGTTTTTTGTTATTTACTGATAGATTTAAGAAAATGATATTCTGAGTTTCAGCTTATGAACGTATGATTTATGTTTTGAAAATTTTTGCTATCTTTTCTCTTTCTTTGTTCTCGTTTATTGCATAACATGAATTTCTTCGTTTTTTAAAAATATGATTTGTTATTAGAGAGTCATGGATGCTTTGATTTGCAAGCAATGTCAGAAACTGAGTTGTTGGAGAGTTGAAGAGTCGACGAAACCGTGGTATTGCAGTGATTATAACGAACCTGCTACTCTTTTTGCCACGTGCATGCGATATTTTGCATTAAATGAAGAAGAATTTAGTACTCTGCCTGAGTTATTGTTTCAAAAAATTGAAAGTTTGAAATATGAGATGAGCATTATTGGAAAAATGCATCAGGAAGATATTACGCTTGACCTTTCCTGGATCGTTGTCGGGAGTGATGGTAATTTGGACTGGCGTAAGACATACGCAAAATGTTATCGTGAAATGCTGCCGGACCATTTTTTCATATTTGCGGCAATGAATGGAATTGCTACCAAGGTGAGTGTAACATTTAAAGATTTGGATTTAAAATTATCGTCAAACATCGTTATTTTCAGTTTTACTTAATGGTGATAAGCTGATTTGATATGTAAACTATGTCAATAGCATCTTACGTTTTCAATTATTTTGTCTGTTTCGACTTCCCAAAAATATCTTTGTCAAATATATTTATCATTTACTACTATATGTTAATCAAATTCCTATCTGATATGGTTGATATAAATTTACTCTTGTTGAAAAAAGAAACAGAAAATTTTGGTAAATTTAGTGAATAAACGGGTGTTTAGACGTCTAAAGAATGTAAGGCGACATTTTGAAATATTGTGAATTCTAAATAAGTTCTGAAATTATACTCTTATTGGTAGGTTAAAACTTTTGTCTTGATGAATTACTTTAATCTTAATAATTAGTAAAAAGTAATTAAATATTAAATTAACTTATGTCAGATAACTTAGCTTTTACGAAACATTTGGTCTTTTTTAATTCTCTTTCTCTCTCTTTTCCTTCTCCCATATTTTGGCATTATTTAATTATGCACTTGGCGTGATTACCCAGAAAATAAGCTAAATTGCTGAATTTAAAATGTTTTAGTATGAAATTCTGTTGAATTAATTACTCATTATTTATAAGAACAATGACAGCAATTGTTGATATAAAATCTATTTAGCATGAATAGATCATATTATAGATTTTATCACTTTTTCTCTCTTTTTTTTTCATTTTTTCCAAATGCTTCGTATTATTTCCAACTTTATATACTATTTTAATTGCCGCATTATGTACATTCTTATACTAAAACTGGGAATAATTAGATCAATCAGAATATAATTTCTAAAACTGGGAATAATTGGGTCAATCAGAATATAATTTTTAATAAGACTTGTTTGTTACCAAAAAATTTTTGCAATTTAAATCAATCATTTCTTGATTAACATTGCATGGAGTGTTTTTATTGCATCTACCGGAGATGGGCAAAGGTATTGTGAAATTAAAGGTTTTTTTTTTTAATTTAAAATTAGGATAAGTCACGAAATTGTATTATTTTTCTTTTTCCCAAAATGCAAATCCTATATAAATTCAATCTCTTGTGACACCTATATTTTTTTGCTGCTGTTTTTTCTTTTAAATTTTATGAAAGAGCAGACACTTCAAAATGCTTGGATTTTGCAGAATTAGGTCTTACATTTTATTGAAACTAAAGTGAAAATTGATGACATATTACCGGTTTTTTTTTTTTATTTACCTTCCGAAATTGTGACTTTCCAAGAATAATTTCTAAAAAGAGCATTGCTACATTCGCATATTGTAATACTTAGATGATATTTGTAAGGAAATGATTAAATGTTGATTATAATATTCAAGATATAAATATTTAAATAGTCATAGTCTAATAATTTGATTAGTTTTTCGTTTTGTTTTTTATGAAATGTATTTGATAACAATAGATTAATATTAAAAAGCATACAAATTAACTTCCTGAAAATGAAAAAAAAAAAAAAATACTTCAGTCAATTTCTAATAATTTATTGATAAATATCAGTATATCTATTTATAGGCATTATGGGAACGATTGTTTTATTCAGAGCAGCACAAAATATTGAATTCGTTTTATGAACTGATAAGAAATACAGCACGTTTGATGTCTCATCCTGCTGAATTTTATGAACTTCGAAATAAAAGTATTCTGAGCGCAGCACAATATGGTTGGCCAGCTGCAGTATGTGCTTGGATTGGTTTACGAAATAATACTCTAAATAATATTAATTATCAGGAAGAATTAGTTGGAAATTTTTTTGAAGGTCCAATGTATGATCTATCATTTTGTCTTAGACAAACTATTCTGGTAGCTATTATCAATGGCCAATTTCATTTGCTTCATTATTTGCCAGCCGTGAATTTTACTGATTCTTATGATCTATTTCCATTTGCATATGGTGAAATGTTCCTTAGGTTTTTTCGGGAATTAATTAATTATCCAGCAACTGAAACTTTTTTTAATGATAAATTAAGTGATTGTCTAAAACCTATTGCACGAATTTTATATGCCTCAATGTCATTTTTGGATTTTTATCGTCTAGGACAAATGATAGTTAATATTAGAGATATTAAAACTTTAAATCGTATTAAACGATTCTTGCATGATATTTCTAACTAAGATAAGTGTTACATGTGTGAAATGTATTGCACTAAGATTATTAATTTATTTCAGTTAATCAATTAGTTGTTCATATAGCTAAGAAATATTTTAATTTTTCATCAATTTTTAATGATACAGCATTTGAATGCAATTAGCTGTTATAGTTAAAGTCTATGGATTAATCAATTCAAAAAGAAACCTCTCATATCGATTAGTCTATATAAAGCTGTCAATAATATGTGTTGCTTGCTTGCATGTATGTATGTAAGTGTGTGTGTATGTGTGTATGTATGTATGTGTATGTTTGTGTCTGATGTCTGTGTGAAATGAATGATTTTTAAACTATCATAAGGCCTAACACATGAAGTATATAGGCTTACGCTCAATCAATCTAAGAAGAATGCATGCGTTGCGGTTATTGCTTCATTCGATATTCGAATATAGCGATTAGTTATGGATTGTAATAAAGTTTATCATTTTATGATAATGATATTATGGATTTGTGAGCTGTAGTCTTCAGTCAACAATATGATGACACGATCTGCCACATGTTTGTTTATTTTTATTTTGTTACTTTAACTTTTCATTTTTTTTTTACTATATATTTTTAATTTGAATAGAATTTAATGTGAGAAGAGATAACGAGAGGGTTATAACTTATTGGACATATTAAAGAGAACGATGTTGTTGTTGTTGTTATTGCTGTTATCATTATTGTTATTATTGTTGTTATTGTTATTGTTATTATTATTATTGTTGTTGTTGTTGTTGTTGATAGCAATGATAATAGTGGAGTACTGATGAGAAGATGAAAAGAAAAAAGTCATTCAGCTTTATAATTACTTATATTATTGCATAAAAAGGATGAGAAAATTATCAGTTTAATTATTTTTGTCAGGAAAAAGCGGGAAATTCTCGGAAGGGAGTAAATAGAGGAGTGGATAAAAGGAAGTAATTTAATGGATATAAACAAGTAAGCAGCAATATATCATTAGAATCGATTGTTTTTTCGATATCAATTTCATTTTACAAAATTATGTTAGGTTATATTAGATAAGTATAAAGAAACTATTTCGATAAATTAGATTAGATTGAATGGATAAACAGATAAATGGAGAAATAAATAAATAAATAAAAGTGAAATAGATAATTAAACTGGTAAATAAATAATCAAATAGATAAATAAGTGAATAAACGAGCAAAAGCGAGTGGGTAAGTAAATAAATAGGTGAATGGATAATTGAATAGATAAAATAAATTGATGAATAAATAGGTAGAAAAATAAACAAGCACCAAATAAATAGACAAGTAAAGGCAGGTAAATAAATAGGTAAATAAATGGCCAAAAAATGAATGAATAGATGGGTAAATAAATAAACTGATAAGTAAACAGATAAATAAACAGGTGGAGAGATAAATGGATAGAGGAGTAATATATAAGTGAATAAAATAGATAGATAAGTAAAGAAGTAAATAGACCAGTGGAGGCGAATAAATAAGTAAATAGCTAAAAAATAAGTGAATGAATAGATGGGTAAGTAAATAGGTAAAAAATAAATAAATGAATAGATGGATAAGTAAATAGGTAAATAAATAGATAACTAAAATAAATGAGTAGAAGAAATAAACAGGTATGAGAATAAATAGACAAATAAAAGCAGACAAATAAATACGGAAAAATAAATGAATGAATAGAGAGGTAAATAAATAAACAAATAAACAGATGGAGAGATAAATAGGTAGGGGAGTAATAGATAAGTGAATAAAATAGATAAGTAAACAAATAAATAAGCAAAAGTAAAATAAACAAATAGGTAAAAAATAAGTGAATGAATAGGTAGGTAAATAAGTAAATAAACTAAATAAATAGATAAACAGGTAGACAGATGAATAAATGTATAAAATAAGAAGGAAATAGCCGATGTAGGATGTGTATGGATGAAGGCGTGGTTATGACCGAGAGCTCCGCCTGTTTGCTATAAAAGAATGAGTAGAGAGGAATGAATGTACCAATCTGATGATCCTTTATAAATTAACAGTTTAAATTTAATTTAAACGGAATAAATAAATTTAACGGATCATTTCATTTACGATCATTCCGTTATTCTTCATTATCAATTAATTCATCATGGCTTACCTGTTGAAATACTACACCTGTTAGTTATTAAAATTTATTTCTTATAACAGTACTATTTCTATAGAATAGCACTCATTGTTATTCAAAAAAAAAAAATGAAATAAATAGAAAAATAAATAATTGGTTTCATTTACAGTACTAATAAATATGATAAGTTTACTTATAATGAAAATATGTTATGGCTTTATGTTAAAGTTTTTTTAAATATGTTAAAGTTTATAATGAAAATATATATATACATGTTATTAGTAAACGAAATTTCTTTTTTTTTTTTCCACTTTTTTAATTTAATTTTATTAATGTGAAAGAGATTTTAAAAATAGATAATTCCATTATATTATTATTATTATTATTTTTTATTTCAGTGATATAATTTATTGAATTTTGATATATATTTTGAATTTTAATTTATTCATTGTATATTACAAATATAATGAAATTATTGTATAGAAGAAGTAATTAATTTAATGGCTCAGAATTATTGATTGCAATGAAAGTATTTGCTAATTAGTACAAATTATATTTTTTGATTTTTGATTTAGAATATTGCATATTCCTACGGTTTACAATTGACAATTAAATTTGCAAAAAATTTTGCTGAAAAAAATGCAATTATAAAAAATTTGCATTTTTTTTAATAAAATGTTCTAAATTTGATAATTTCAGTCTATAAAAATCACTAAAAATTGTTAATATTATGCATATATTTGCATTAAATAATGGATAATTTTAATATTATCAATAATAAAACTAAAATTTTACTAATTTACTTATTGTAGAAGATTGTTGTAGAAATCTTTTTTTTTTTTTTTTTTTTTTTTAATTGAAATAAAGAATAATACGAAAAAATGAAACATAGTAAAATGGTAAAGCAAAACTTTGAATTTGTCTCTTTTAGCAGCAATTTCAATTATTTTACAATTCCAAATCATTTCGAAGTTATTCTTTGCTCTCTTCCTTACCTTCTCTTTCCCTCTCTCTCTCTCTCTCTCTTTCTCTTTTTGCTTTTCTTAATTTCATTTTGCTTATAAATAAGTTTTTATCAAAAAAAAAAAAAAAAAAAATCGCTATTAATGAAGTAAATGATTGCATATATTCATTTAAGTAATTTAAATTGCCTTAAATCATTTAAATCATTAAATCAAAATTGAAAATTTTTTTTTAAAAAAAAAGAATGAAAAACTTAATTTTTTTATTTTCAGTTTCGGCAAAAATTCGTACCTTAAGTGAATTTCATAGTCGTATAGCATGCAATCAACAACCACCAAGTGCTGCCGAAATTTTAACAACATTGCGATATTTTCAACAAACATTGATTGGGTTAGTTAAATTAAACCTTTTTAAATTGTATTTCAAAAATAATATTAATAAATTCATTTTAATTTTATAATTTCTTTTCTCTAAGCCATTTCATAATGATTTCAACCTTTTTCTTTTTTTTTTTTTTTTTAATTTGAATGATTAATTCTGCGAATATATTAATAATGCTAGCAATTTAGCATTTCATTTTTCCTATCTAACATTTCCTGTTATAATTTCTCATTCTTTCCATTATTGATATTTTCATGATTAATAAATAATTAACATTTTTTCTTTCTTTTTTTTTTTATTAATATATTTGATATAATATTATGAGATATCATTTATCATAGAATTATTCTATATTTTAGTTTTTTTTTTTTTCTTATTTATTTTTTTGTTATTATTATTGGTTTTTTTTTTTTTTGATTTTATAATTGATGTTTGAAATTTTATACTTCAATTTTAACATAATTAATACATTTAATTCTTGTAATTTATTAATAATTTTTTATATATTATTGTAATTATTTCATTTTTATTTTTAATCTCATTTGAAAAATATAACAGACAATTTTTTTTTTTTTTTTCATTTTCATTAAGCCTTTTTTGTTTTGAATTTCATTAAGTATTGGTATTAAATTTATTGGCTTTCAATCATTTCAGTTTGCTATTAACATTTTTAATTATTCCATTTATTTTTGCTACAAAATATAATTAACATTTTATTCATTTCATCACATTCCTATTTGTCATATTTTTTAAAAAAAAAAAAAAGAGGAAGAAGGATTTAAAAAAAAAAAAAGAAAAAAAAAATTGTAATTAACGAATAACTAAAAGAGAAGAGAGAATAAAATTTTAGTTTTGTATGATTTTTGCTAGATTTTTTATTGTGAAATTTCACTAGCAGAAGTGTAATTTGTGATGAAAAATGAGCTAAATGTTCAATTTGAACTAAAATCCTGAAATTCTGGAAATTTGATGGAATTTGATTCCTACATCTTAGAGCTTACATAAGAGCTAACTAAATCTCTTATTTCAAGTAAAATTGATAGCGAAATGAGCAATGTTAGGAACTGAAATAATATCTTGAAATTTTTATTTTTTCTATTATCAATATTTTGATCCAATATAAGCTTATCATTTACTACTCTTATCTTATCAAATTAACATAAAAGTCATAAATCAAATTTATCAAATTTTAATTAAGCAAAATATCATTTATGAAAGCTAATATAATTTACAAATTGAACAAATAAGCATTTTTTTTTTTCTTTAGTATAAAAATTTTCTTCTTTTTGCTTTTTGCTGCATAAAATTATTGATATATGTATTTGAAGAAATTCAAAAATAAATTAATAAATAAATCACTCAGTGCTTTTTTATCTGATATTATTCTTATAGAATTAAAATAAATGCAAAATAAGCAGCAATTGATCAATCATTTGATGATAAAATGTGTAATAGTGATTTATTTTTTGATGATTATTTTAAAATAAAATGACAGTTACGAATGTTTTGTTTAATTTTAAATTTAATTTTGATTTGTAAAATTTCTCAGTTCTTCTCTAATTATTTTCCACAATTTATTATTTGATAAATAGTATAATAATTTGCTAATGAATGTTGACAGATTTAGTATTAGTCAGTGGTAATAAATAGTTCGATGATTTTTTGCAAAAAATTAAGCTTTAATAAAATACTAAATACTTTATAATCTAATAGACTAATACTTTTTACATCAAAAAATAAAAACAAAAAGTAAATCATTAGGAATATTATGAAGTGAAGCATTAAATATTTAAAAATTCAATTTAAAAATAGACAAAGTGTTATTCATTTCTCTAAAACATTTTAGCTCTTTTCTGTTTATTTATTCATTTGCTTATTTATATATTTATTTCATTTTCATTTTTTTAGCTTTTCTTTTTTTGAATTTATCAAATATTGCAGTTTGCATGTTATAGGTTGATCTTTGAAAAATTTTCAGTTTAAGAAAAAAAAAAAAAATTCTTATTTTAAAAATACATTACATATAAGTCTTAGTTAATTTCAAAATTTTCCGTTTTTCTTTTTTCTTTTTTTTTTTTTTTTTTTTTAAAGAAACAAAAAAGATAATTTATATTTTGAGCAATTTTTTTTGCCCTAAGATTTATTTGTATACATATAGCATTTTAGGCTTTTCTTTTTGCTTTGCATTTGCATTTACTTTATAAATAAATTGTTGATAAATGATAGTTATTAATATTAAAATTTTCCAATAAGCTTTGATCATTGTAATATATGTGACAGTCATTTTTGGTGTGACATTAAGTGATATCATTCATTGATGAATCATTCTTATTGATTTTATATTCTTGAGGAAATGATTGAAATAAAAGTACGAATGGTATAATTAATAAATATGAAAATTGAATAATAAATATGAAAATTGACAACAAAAAAAAAAATTTTTTTTGAATTATAATTAATGTAGTAGAATAATTTTAATGATAAAGCAATATCAGTGTTAAATGTTTAATGATAAAAAATTGTCTTCAATTCATTTACTTACTAATTTTTGAAATTTTAACATTCACATAAGTAAAATACACATTTGTCCTCGAAATTTGAAAAATTCATTTATGAATGAAGCAAAATTAAAATAGTATTATTGATTAAATTTTTAAATTATTACAAGAAATTACTAGTTGATTTTAAGTGCAATAATTAAAGGATTATTTGAAATTTACATCAATAATAATTTACTTCCATCCGATTGCATTTATTATTTCCGGAATATCCTAATAAGCTCAGATGGTGTAATTTTTCATCTTTTTCATGATTGCTATTTTCAAGTATGTCTGAAAATTTTTGCATGCTAAAAATTCCGAAAAAAAAAAAAAAAAAACAGTTGAAGTACACAATATTGATGTTACATTTGCATTTAAAAAAAAAATTTTTTTTTTTGAAAAAAAAAATGGAAGAAGAGGAAGAAATAAATTAGGAAATGATTGAATATATTTGCAAAGATGATAAATTGCAGCATACAACATTTTGATTTTCTAAAATATCACTTCAAATTTTTTGAATTTTATATACCAATAAAATTATGCATATATTATAGATTTCTGAAAGAAATGCCACCAGTACCAACAAGCGCCTTCGAGCGTTATTGTCCCACATTGAATCGAGTAACATTATATCCAAATTTAAACTATTCCGGACTTTATTATGGAATAATTAATTTATTAGATGTTTTTCAACAAATTTCATCCTCACATCTTGGTAATAATCTTTATTATATCAAAAAATAAAAGTAAATAATTGATAATTTTCCAAATTATCAATTATTTGATTTTCTTGATCAATTCTTAGAAAAAAAAAAAAAAAATGCAAAAAAGAAGTAATAAACTGATTTCTTATTATCATAAAATTTATATTTTTTTTAAAAAAAAAAATAAATTTTAGCTATTGGTGATGCAATTCTTGATACAATGAAAGCTTTGTATTTCTTTCTACAACGTGATATTCTCGAACAATTACCATTTTTATTAGCTTCTCAACTTGGTATTTTACCTGCCGAACTTGATAAAAAACTTGTGCATCTGATAAGCACCTGTTTCATTCCATTTATTTTGATACCAAAACAGGAATGCTTTTCAGTGCCAGCTGTTCTAATGATGATACTTCAGCATTCGACCGATCTCAGTAAGACCTTCAACTTATCAAGTTGTTTTTTTTTTTTTCCTTTCCTCAGACAAATACTGATAACTATATCGTTATCACTATTATTTTGATCAATTATCAATCAACAACTGCTACTATAATTGAATTGATTATCAAACTTGTTGTTATCAATTCACTATTATTAAATTGATAAATTTGCAAAAGCAAAAATAACATATAAATTCTATTTATAAATTTTTACAATTATAAAATGATTGTGATGTTAGCAACACTTCAGTTCAATTTAATTTATAAATACGATTGAATAGTTATAAATTGGTAGAAACTAGCAATTTTGCTATTCATTAGAAAGAATTCCCGGAAAGAATATGTGATTCAATTATATTTCAATGCTTTTAAAAGAAAGAAAGAAAGAAAAAAAAAAAAGATACAAACGATGAAATGATTTGCCTGAATGAATGAATGGATGGATTGCATAATGAAAAATACTAATTTTATTATGCATTAATGCATGAAAACTTAATTGGAACAATAAAAAAAAAAAAAAAAAAGAATTGTGAAAAATATTACTATTAATTCTTAGAAAGAGAGAAAAAAAGAGAAAGTTACCAGCATTTTAGTTAATTTAATTTATTTTATTTTTACTAGAAATTACCAAAATTATTATATTTTAAAGAAGCAAATTCAAAAAAAAAAAAAAAATCAATTTTTTTCAAATAATTATGCAAGAAAAAAAGGAAAATTTTCTGTGTAATATTTTATTGATTAAAATTTCAATTTCAGCAGATTTTCAATTGTAAAATGATAAATAATACATTTTATGCAACTATAATTAGCAAAACATACACTTATTAATTTGTATTTTTCATTCAAAAAAAGAAAATTCAAACTAAATTATAAAAGAATGAAAAATTAATGATAATAATAAAAATTAAGTTTACATTTCTTCCAAACTTCCAAAATATTTTTCCAAATTTCTTCTAACATTTAAAATATATGATGCAATTATAAATTGGCAATGTTTTGTTTTCATTCAATTCTAAAATTATAAATTATCAAGATATTATCATCTTTAAGTTTTATTTTGCTACTTATGAAAGGAAAAATTTTAATTATACAAATGGGAAACGTATATTATAAAAGTGAATGTTTACTAGCTTAGATAGCTTTCTCTGCTAATTTGAAAAAAAAAAGATTTTTAATAAATTATAAGAAAGCAATGACATATTATTACTATAAATAGCTACCATAGACTTAAATATATCAATGAAAGGAATCATTAAGTAGAAATAATTTCTATTAATAAATCAATTTTAATTTTCGTTACAGTAATATTATAAATAAAAACATGCTTATTCATTGCTAATTTCGTTTTAAAATTTAAAATTAACCTTAACTTTTTTTTTTTTTTTTTTTTAAAAAAAAGGCGACAAACTCTTGTTTTGATTTATTGTCTAAAAATATATGCAATTTTGGAGTATTAAAAATTTTTTGTGGTTTTTCAAAGACAAAAAAAAAAAAGATAAGACAAAATGAAATGAATATAAAATGGATGAAGGAAAAAAGTTAAATTAAAAATTTGATTAAAAAATAAAAAAATGAAAAGAAAAAAAATTGTCAGATGAATTATATTTTAAAAAAAAAATGAAGAAAATAATGAAATATAACATTTTCATAATGCTTTTTTTTTTTTCATATAAATATTTTAAAAATGTTTTAAATTAACTCACACAAAGTTTATATATGTTTTTCTTGTTGTTTTAGTTTTTATTCCGAATATTTTTATTAATTTTAAATTATTTTTAAATATTATTTTTTATTTTTCATTTTCAGGTCTTCATACACTTTTTATCGAAAATCTTTTGGCACAAAAAGAAAATGTTTACAGGGTAAAAATACATTTTAATCTTTTTATTAGTTTAATTTATTATTTTAACTTATAAATTACATTTGCTTATGTCTTTCTTTTTTTGTTTCATAACGATTTATGCAAATATTTGACATTTTATATTAGTATACATTTCTCATAAAAGTTAAATTATACGTTTCACATTTTGCATACGGATTTTACTTTCTATCTGAAAAAAAAAAATGTTAAAAGTAAAATTTTCTCAAGAAAATATATTCAAATAATTGATTAATTAATTTAAGCATCACATGTAAACAACAAACTATCTTAGCAAATAAAATATATAAACAAATAACAAATAAATTAGTTCGTTTACTGATTGATTAAATGGATAAGTAATCAGAGAAATGGAATGAATTGATAAATTTTTAACAAAAATAAATGCTAATTTTGACTTTTATCAATAAATACAAGTGAAGTAAGGAATAAGGAATTAAATAAATAAAACTAAGTAAGTAAATAATTAAATAAATAAAATGACTAATAAATTTTTAACAAAAATAAGTGCTAATTTTGACTTTTATCAATAAATATAAGTGAAGTAAGGAATAAGGAATTAAATAAATAAAACTAAGTAAGTAAATAATTAAATAAATAAAATGATTAATAAATTTTTAACAAAAATAAATGCTAATTTTAAAGGATATGATATTAGTATTATCAAAAGGTACAAGTGAAGCTCGTATTGCTGCTGCAAATTTATTATTCCATTATTGGCCAATTCATAATAAACACATATTACATCGTAAATCAATTCAATATCGTATTCAAGGTAGAATTAAATTTTTAAAATTTATTATTTAAAAAGGAATAAAGCAAAAAAAAAAAAGCAAAAAATTGGCTTTGCTTAATTTTATATGAAAATTTTAAAAAAGAAAAAAAAAAAACTTTTTTTTCCTTCTATTTTCAAATGATCAATTAAGAAATTAGATGGAAAATTTTTTCTGTTAAATGAAATCTTTTTATTGTTTATAAACTTTCTTGTATTTTTTACATAAAATTAAAATAAAATATTTTACAGCATGGACATGCATACCATGTCAAAATACCAAATGTGTGGATAATGAGCCAAGGTAAAATATAAAATATACTTGGAATAATTTCATAAAAAAATACTTGAAATAGTTTCAAATGCTTCATTTATTTCTTTTTATTACTATTATTATTATTATTTTAAATAATAAATTTATTAAATTTTTTGCTATATTAAATTTATTCTTAATTAATCAATATTTCATTAAAAAATTATTGAATGATTATTATTATTATTATTTATAATTCCATGATATTCTATTCTAATTCATAATTTCTATATTATTTCCATTATAAAAATAAATTACTGATTGAATAAGCAAACAAATTATTCGATAATTTAAATATTATTTTAAAATTTGATTAATTATAGAAATTAGAAATTTGTTACGATTAATAAATGATATTTGGTGTTTTTTTTTTTTTTTTTTTTTTAATTTTTAATTTCATTTTGAATTAAAAAATTTTTTTTCAGTGTACGATGCTGCTTTGATCCATTAATTTCAATAAAATACGGTGAGACAGCACCGCCAATATCACTGTGTAAAAAATGTGCTGAAATGATAGAAAGTGATGATAAGATAACAACGATACCAATTTGTATGCCAATATCAGCATCGAGTAATGTAGTTTGTCAAAATAAGGTAAACTGATTAATCTCTTTCTTCGCTTTTGATATTTTATTATAGCTATTAATATCATATCACTTTTTGTTTGTTTATTTTTATTTGTCTATTTATCTGTTTACAATATCTTATCACTTTTTGTTTGTTTATTTTTATTTGTCTATTTATCTGTTTACAATATCTTATCACTTTTTGTTTGTTTATTTTTATTTATCTATTTATCTGTTTACAATATCTTATCACTTTTTGTTTGTTTATTTTTATTTATCTATTTATCTGTTTACAATATCTTATCACTTTTTGTTTGTTTATTTTTATTTGTCTGTTTATCTGTTTACAATATCTTATCACTTTTTGTTTGTTTATTTTTATTTGTCTATTTATCTGTTTACAATATCTTATCACTTTTTGTTTATTTATTTTTATTTGTCTATTTATCTTTTTAAAATATCTTATCACTTTTTGCTTGTTTATTTTTATTTGTCTATTTATCTTTTTACAATATCTTATCACTTTTTGTTTGTTTATTTTTATTTGTCTATTTATCTGTTTACAATATCTTATCACTTTTTGTTTGTTTATTTTTATTTGTCTATTTATCTTTTTACAATATCTTATCACTTTTTGTTTGTTTATTTTTATTTGTCTATTTATCTTTTTACAATATCTTATCACTTTTTGTTTGTTTATTTTTATTTATCTATTTATCTGTTTACAATATCTTATCACTTTTTGTTTGTTTATTTTTATTTATCTATTTATCTGTTTACAATATCTTATCACTTTTTGTTTGTTTATTTTTATTTGTCTGTTTATCTGTTTACAATATCTTATCACTTTTTGTTTGTTTATTTTTATTTGTCTATTTATCTGTTTACAATATCTTATCACTTTTTGTTTGTTTATTTTTATTTGTCTATTTATCTGTTTACAATATCTTATCACTTTTTGTTTGTTTATTTTTATTTGTCTATTTATCTTTTACAATATCTTATCACTTTTTGTTTGTTTATTTTTATTTGTCTATTTATCTGTTTACAATATCTTATCACTTTTTGTTTGTTTATTTTTATTTGTCTATTTATCTGTTTACAATATCTTATCACTTTTTGTTTGTTTATTTTTATTTGTCTATTTATCTGTTTACAATATCTTATCACTTTTTGTTTGTTTATTTTTATTTGTCTATTTATCTGTTTACAATATCTTATCACTTTTTGTTTGTTTATTTTTATTTGTCTATTTATCTGTTTACAATATCTTATCACTTTTTGCTTATTTTTATCTATTTATTTACTTGCTTAATTGTCTTTTTTTTTTTTTTTTTGCTTTTTAAATTTGTTGAAATAATTAATGATCTTTTAGGCTAAAGTTAATAATCTTTATCTTTCTTTCTTTGGTATTTTACTTTTTTTTAAAAAAAAAAAAGTTTATTAAGAAAAAATAATTAGTAATTGTTTAAAGTTTTGTAATAATTTTATCAAAATCTTACTTACAAGATATCATAATCATAATAACTTTTAAAGGGTTGTGAATCATCAAAACGATTAGCTATAGGTATATGCTTTTCTGAAGATTGCATCCGATCACATCAATATGTTCCGTTACGACTTTGTCAGGTATCTCTTTTTTTTTTTTTTTACCTTAAATAAATAAACAAATAGAATTCGTTCAATTAGGCAATTTTTGACTATGTAAAATTGTTGTTAAATAATTACTTAATTATTCATTATTAATTTCACTATTAATTTAAAATGATTACTCATTATTTTTTCTTCAGATTGCCTAAATATATCATATTTTTCCAATTGTCTAAAAAATTTATCAAATTTAATTTTCAATTTAAAAGCTGGTAGATAAAAGAAATGTGAAAAAAAAAAATGCAAATCTTTAAATTTCTAATATGAATTATTGAATTTTTTAAATTGTCATAATTATAGATAATTAAAAATCAAGAATATTTTGTAAAATTTTAAATTGAATTTTTATAAATTTAATTTAGGAATGTCTTGATGCATTACATAGTGTTAATTGTAAGGAACATATTAATCATCGTAGTATGAAATGTGCTTGGGGGACAGAACTTGAAAGAGATATTGTCGAAGCGATTGTTAAACTTTTAAAAGAAACTTCTGCTAATTTAGAAGGTTTTTCTTTTCTATTGTAGTAAATTCTAAAACTGTTTTTTTTTTTTTTTTTTTTTTAAATTTTACACTTTTTAATAATTCCAAATTTTGTCAAGATGATGTTAGAATGTTGAATATTTGCAAACTTTCATATTGAATTTATAAAGTAAAATTATATTAAAATTAGAAATTAAATTTAATTATATGACACTTCATGCATAACATTTAATATTTAAATGCCAACTTACAAAAAGTTGCTCTATTCAATATTTCATTCTGCTTCATAAAAATAGCATAATTAATTAGTAAATTATTAATGATCAACAATTTTTTTTTTTTTGTTTTGTTAAAGAAGCCATTAATTATAGCTGTTAATTTAAAAAAGATGATTAAATTTATAAAAGTTAAACAAAAATATTGCAATAAATTTTGATATAATATATTTTAATATAAAATAATTTTTCCAATGGTTACAAAAAAGAATTAAAATGAAATTTACGTTTTCTTTTTTTTTTTTTTTAATACTGAAGGATCGGAAACTGAGGGTAAAAGACCGAAATGGTTACGACAATTAGAAGGTGGTCATACACTTGGCCGTGACATTGATAAAATGGCCGATGAACGAAGAGCATTAAGTCGTTTTGGTATTTGGCTTCTTGCGACAATCTGTCCACCTATACCAGAAGCTAGACCGGTACTATCTTCAATTTAAAATTTAAATTATTCATCAATTATTTTAGAAATTTAAAAAATTATTTTAGAATTTTAAAATTATTGCTTTTATAATTGGATATGATACCTGTTGTATTTATAATAAATAAGCTAAATATGCTTATTAAATAAAATGAAATATAATATATTAAGCAAACTTGAAATGATTTTTTAATCTATGAATAAATTTAAATAATCAAAATTTCACTCAAAATTTTTAGGAATTGTAAAAAACTTTTAAAGAAATATTTGTCAAATGTAAAAAAAAAAAAAAAAAAAAAAAAAAAAAAAAACAAAACTTTTATTTTTGAATCATAAAATAATCAATGCGAATGAATGAATTTTCATTATGAAATTAATAAGAATTAATTGATAAAAAAAAAAAATTTTTTTTTTAAAAATTTAAAAAAAAAAATTTATCGAAATATTTTTTTTTTTTGTTTTAGCAAGCGATTGCTTATATGATGTCAATGTTATTGCAATGGTTTGCAACTACTGCTCTATTACCTAATGATTCCATTGGTGCTGCATTAGAACAACTTAGAACTGATGTAAATTACACTGATAATTTTATTTTATCATTTATCACTCAATTGATTAATCCTTATCATTTGAATTATTTAATGATATGATATGATTTCGAGTAAATGAAGATATTAGTTGAAAGAAAGTAAATTTTGCACTGATTAAGAAAATCAATAAAATCAAACAATGTCATTAATTCAAGTACTACTCGTAATCTTATCATGATAACACACTGATAACTGATATAAATTTCTAATTAAAAGAAACAAAGAAAACAAATTCAAGTTGTTAATATATTTATTTTATATCATATGCAATGTATAACTGATCGTTTTGTGAATATATTGCTATTTTATATTTACAAAATTGCAAGCTTTAAGATAAGGAGAGAGAGAGAGAGGGACAGAGAGAGGGGAAGAGATAGAGAGAAGGAGGGAGTGAAGGATGAATAATAATTATTAATAATGTTAAAGGGAAAATAGGAAAAAATATATTATTACTTTAATCTATCATTTCATCTGAAATGAAATGAAAATAAATAGACTGAAAATTTTGTAATAAAAATATTAAATATTTTTTCAAATTAAAAAAAAAAAAAAAAAAAAACGACAATAAATGCATGATAAACGAAATAATTTAATAAGAAAAAAATTAATTATTTGCTTGAAATAAATTAATGATCGAATTTTCCTTTTTTTTTTTTTTTTTTTTATTTATATTAAAAATGAAAATAAATAATAATTGATGATTGCATAAATAAGTGATTTCTCTCTTTTTTCTTTTTTTTATTTTATATTTAATATTTTAAATTAAATATGTATGTAAAATTTAACATTTATATCAATTAATGAATTATAAGTTTTTCTTTTTTGCAGTTTGTATTAGATTGGATTAATTTGGCAATTATGAATCATTATGAGAATTTTGTTGAAACTTTAATGCCAAATCCACCAGAATATGCTCAGGTGATTCTCTTTTACAAATTGTATTTTAATTACAAATTAATGATAGTATTTTCTTTTTTTTTTAAATTGAAAATTAGGTTTTTTTTTTTTTATTAAATTAAGATTTTTTTTTTTTTTTAAATCAAAATTAAAGTGATTGATATTTAACTTAAATAATAGAGTTATTAAAATTTTAAAATGTTGAATGGTAATATTATTTAAATATTTTGTTACATTGAAAATATTTGTGGAAGAAAAATGTTCAAAATCAATTTATTGCCAAATAATGCAATGCATTTATAATTTAAATAATTTGAATTATTTTTTTTTTCCTTTCAGGTTGGAGGCATCTGGGATAGACTTTCAACAAAAAAAGAACAAATGCGTGATGGACTTTATAAGTTATTAGCAATAATGCCGTATGATATTATCACGTTGAGTACGTGGAATCGATTAATGCCACAATGGATGCAAAGTATTTGTGATTTAATGGAAGATGATGATTTTTCTGAATTTAAAATACTACTCAGGTATTATTAATTAATTAATTAATTAAAGCATTTGTTTTATTTTTACAATTAATTTAATTAACGAATATCTTTTCGATATGATTTTTCTGAATTTAAAATACTACTCAGGTATTATTAATTAATTAATTAATTAAAGCATTTGTTTTATTTTTTACAATTAATTTAATTAACGAATATCTTTTCGATATGATTTTTCTGAATTTAAAATACTACTCAGGTATTATTAATTAATTAATTAATTAAAGCATTTGTTTTTTTTTTTTACAATTAATTTAATTAACGAATATCTTTTCGATATGATTTTTCTGAATTTAAAATACTACTCAGGTATTATTAATTAATTAATTAAAGCATTTGTTTTTTTTTTACAATTAATTTAATTAACGAATATCTTTTCGATATGATTTTTCTGAATTTAAAATACTACTCAGGTATTATTAATTAATTAATTAAAGCATTTGTTTTTTTTTTCTACAATTAATTTAATTAACGAATATCTTTTCGATATAATTTTTCTGAATTTAAAATACTACTTAAGTGTTACTAATTAATTAATTAATTAAATAATTAATTACGGCATTTATTTTGTCCTTCTACAATTAATTTAATAAAAATAAATATCTTTTCGATATAAACATTCATTTTCTATATTATCCTTAAAATAATTTGCAAATTTATTTTTTAAATGCTTTTTCTTTGTAGCAAAATATTTGAACCAGATCTACGTCCATTACCATTCAATGATGAGCAATTATATCAGTTCATTACTGATCATTTGATAACAGGAGATGAAAAAAGTATTTCAAATGCGCTTGATTGGATTTATGTGATTTTTTTTTTTTTTTTTTCATTTGATTAATGCAAAATTATAAATTTTTGGAATCAGTTAAAACTTTTTTATTCAAATTTTGAAGAGATTAGAGTTATTTTTAAATTTATAAATTTTTTATTTTTTTTAGGCTATTTTTAATTTATTTTCTTTTTAAATTTATAGAGCATTTAATAGAAATATCAAAATGAAATAAATTTATTGTTATCATTTATTTTATTCAATTTTTTAAAGGAAATTTTGCAAAAAATGACAAAAAAACTGTCTTGAAAAAAATTTTCTTTTGATAATAAGTCAATTTTTTTTTTATAAATTATAATCAAAAAAAAATAAAAAACCATAAGAAATAGATTAATTCAAGGCTTTATCATTGATGGAGATTTCAATACCACTTCCAATTTTACTTGATGCATTTTCAAAATGTGCTTCACGAATATCACAATTAGAATTAAAACGAAATAATGAGAATGGTTTAGAGGAGGAACACATATCACTTCATGTTTCTATGGTTGATATCATCTCTCAGCAAGTAATTCTTAATTGAAATATTAAATGAAATTATTTAACATTGATAATAATAATAATAAATAATAATAATAACAGCAATAATAACAAATAATAATAATGTGATGACGATGATGGTGATGGTGATGATGATAATAATAATGATTGAATTGAAATAAAATTATTTAACACTAATAATAATAATAACAGCGATAGTAACAAATAATAATAATGTGATGACGATGATGGTGATGGTGATGATGATAATAATAATGATTGAATTGAAATAAAATTATTTAACACTGATAATAATAATAATAATAATAATAATAATAATAATAAATAATAATAACAGCGATAGTAACAAATAATAATAATGTGATGACGATGATGGTGATGGTGATGAATGATAATGATGATGATAATAATGATTGAATTGTGATAATGAATGAATTATGATAGTGTTGGAATTGTTTTTTTTTAATGCATTAAAAAAAAAAAAAATTTCAATTCAGACGAATTATTATCAAATCTTACTTAAAATACTAACATTTTTGATTATATTAAATTATTGCTTGCATTTTTTTTTTCTCTTTCTCAAATTTATTTAATACTAATACTAGCGATATTAGTATTTCTTTAATTTTCTTTTTTTTTTTTTTTTTTTTTTAAATTTTAATTTTTATTTAATAAACTTTGAAATTAAATTGAATGATTAATTTAAATCATTCAAATTTCATTCTCATTTATTTACTACATTAATTATTGCAGATATCTTTAAACGATCAATTGCATCATGAAGTAAATCTAATTTCTGAATTAATCTTTTCCACCTGTGCAATAATATTGCAAAAACCATTTGCGCATTGCAAACATAACTGTGATAATCCAGAATTAGATGAATTTCTTGATTGTTCAGCATGTCAACAATCTGTGTTTGTTTATCAAACTGTTGCTAAAATTATGGAACGATTATCACCGAAAGAGCAACTTTGTATATCAGTTAATAATGATGAGGTTTTATATATTAATATTTCATTTTCAATATAATTATTTTTTTTTTTTTTTTTTTTAAATATAATTATTTGAAGATTACATTTGAAAAAAAAAATTTCTTTCTTTCTTTTTTTCATTGCTAATATTATTTCAATTTTTAGCCAACAATTGATTGGAAAACACAAATTACCAATGCATCACCAAAACAATTACCAGTTGATAAATCTAATTCATCAATGACTGCACCATTACCAAATGATTTATCACCATTATCATCATTATCACTTATTCAAAAATCAACAACAGCACATACGGCTGAACTTCAATTTCAAACAGCTACCATTCATGAAACAAGCATCGAATTTGTTGGTTTATTACCTAGTGAAGAGGTATTTTGCTAAATTATTTTATTGCTTTTTCACTTCTCTTCTGTCATCTTTTTTGACAAAAGAGTTAAATTTTAAAAGTAATCAAACTGCTATGTTTGTGCTTTAGTAACTCACTCATTCATTACATTATTTTTGAAATAAAACAATTGATAATTGAATTATTTCTAGTCTTCTAGTTTTGCGTATTTTATCTTGTATTTATTTTATCATGTATGTATTTTTAATACTAGAATTTTGCGTAAAAAATATTTCACGTCACTTTTTTTACGTAAAAAAAATCTTTGAGCTTTTTTTTAAAAACATTAAATTATTATGATTTTGCTTGTTAAGTGATTAAATGATTATAAATAGAATTTCAATTGGTCATAAAATAATTGTTTATTATTTTTATCAGGTGGAAACAGCTGTGGCACACGCAACAACATTAACGGAAACAGACGTAGGACGTGAAACATGTCATATTGTAACGTCATCATTAGTTGATGATATTAAAGGAACATCAGTGGAAAATGCAGTGGAAAAGGAAACAACAAAATTTTGGAATACTTCAGTTGGACGTTTCCGCTTTGCGCTCTCTGATTTACCATCTCAACTTTGCCTTATTCATTCAATTTTAACGGTTAAAATTAAAATTTTAAAAGTGGAAAATGTTTAGCATAAAGATATTTTTCAAAATTAATCGATAAATACACAAAAAATTGTCATTCATTTAATTTGTTTATTTAAAATAAAAACTCTTTCATATTTTCTATAAATTAATTCATGTCATATATTTAGCTTAAATTACAGTATAAATGACAGATGATTAACAATTAATGTTAGCAAAAATGATAAGTGATAACTGATAACATTTTATATTTTTTGTTATATATTTTGTTTAGATTTTTTTTTTTTTTTGCTTAATTTGAGCAGGTTATTATGCAACTGATTACTTTTTTAATTATTTTAATTTTATTCATACTGTAATAATACAAATGATAGATGACAATAAAGTGATAATGTAAATGATAAGTGATAACGATTGGTAGCACAAATGATATAGTTTAAGGCAAATAACAATAAGGGTGATAAATGAAAATAAATAATATATAAATGGCTAATAAATGATAATATAAATAAATAATAGAATGATGCATTTTGAAATTAATTTTAAAATTTGAAATGAACAACAATTTGTTTATTTTATAGAATTTGGAAATAGAACCTGAAGCAGATGCTCATTACTATATGCTTAGAACAGTGAAATTTATATGTCTTCATTGTGAATCATTATTAAATGCTCGTCGTGAACATCGAGGTTATTTAATTTGGGCACAAGAAAATTTACTCATACCAAAGTTATGGACATTACTTCGTTCAGATCGTTCACAGGTATATAAATAATTTTTTTTAAAAAAAAAAAAAAAAAAAAAAATTAAAAAATTATTTGCCACTAAAATGCCTTTTTTTTTTCTTAAATTTATGCTTTTTTTAAATTAAATTTGCTAAATTTATTAGAATATTTTAAATTCACCTAATGAAATCAGATGAATTTATTGAAATATTTTTTTATGTGATATAGGAATGGAAAAAAAATGAAAATAGTTAGTTGAATTTGCACACACACAATAAATGTAATTATTTCATATAAAAAAATTAAATTTTTATAACTTCAATTTTTTTTTTTTAATTTTTTCATTTAAATTTTTAGTAATAATAATAAATGAATGAATTTTAGTTAGCTGAATTAGTAATTCCATTAATTATGCATTGTATAACATTACCAAGTGGTGAAGAAATGTTTTGGAAAGTTGTTAATACACAATTTATCAGTGAACAATGGGAGGAACGTTTTTCAGCTGGTAAATTAATTACAATTAAAATTTTCATAGTTAATTTTAATTCGTTCATTTTTAACGGAATAAAGGGAGAAAGAGAGGGTGAGAGAGTGAAAGAAAAAGTGAAGGAACAATCTTTATAATTGTAAAACTTATAAATATCATAATTTAATGGAATAAATCGAATTTATTGGTTACTTTCTTTTTACATTTTTAATTTTTGTTTTCTAAAAAAAATTTTTTTATCTATAAATATTTATATTAATTGTTGTGTTTTTTGATTAATTATATTTTTTTTTTCTAATTTCAAAAAAAAAAAAAAAAAAAAAAAAGAAAAGAGTTGCATTTAATGAATATTCTTTGATGCTATCAAATCTTTTTTTTTTTTATTAATATCGAATTAATAAGAAAAGATATTTTATAATAATTAATGAATTTATAGTGGAACGAACAACCGTACTTCTTCAATTAGCAAATGCTTTACCTGTGAATACAAATAAGGTAATTCAAACGAGTTTAAGTTGCTGTATTACACATTTAATTGCATCAATTGATGATCCAAATATAGCTGTTGCTCAACAAGCATTATTATCCATTCAACATATGCCTTCAGCTTCTTTAAAGGTTTCAAAAATTGCAATTAATTAATTAGCTAATTAATTAGTATTGATTAATAGAGCATTATTGATTAGAAATATAAAACTTGTTAGATATATTTGTTATCTATAAAAGGAAGAGAGAAATTTTAACAAATGCTTCTTTTAATCTTTATAATGTGAAAATTATTAATGCTTATTGTATTAATTATTATTTTTAATCCTTAAATAAATATTTTCCTCATTAATACTGATCATCTTTTTTTTTGTATTAAATCAAAAAAAAAAAAATTTTTTTTTTGCCATTCATTTGTTGTTAAATTAATAAATTCTTATTTAATCATACAGATTGCTGAATGATTTATTAATTTATTCAATTTTGAAATTGCAAATAAAAGAAAAAAACTGATAGCGAGTTTAAATTTAAAATTTTTGTGAATGCCAGTGAATTTTAATTTTAAAATTTTAACAATAATTATATATTATGTTTTATAGTTGATGTGTCTTTGTTTGGAATCACAATTTGATAGTTCAATTGTTGATCGAGCATTAATTATCACTCGAATTCAACAACTTACATCAATTGTTCCAAATGTAGAAATTCTCACCTGGGAATTTTTCATTCAACGATTTGAAGGACTTGCGATTGAGAGTCAACTTCTTGCAAAGAATGGAGAATCTAATTTTATTCATGGTTTATTTCTCATTTATTTTATTCTGGTACATTTGCGCACTTGCGCTAAATGTATTTGTTAACTCTAACTTTAAACTTAACCTTAAATTCTAAAACATTATGCTTAACTCTCTTTTTCTTTATTTATTTTTATTCATTAGTTTTTTTTTTTTTTTTTTTTTTTTTCAAGTTTTATTTAATAAGGTGATAATTCATGATTGTCATTGATATTTTCATATCATCAGATAATTTAAATAAGAATTACATCACTTTTCACTTGTCTAACTAATTAGTTTTCATTTCCAATTAATTATAAAATTAAATCATTCATAAAATTATTTATTATTTCTTCTTTCCTTTTACTAATTGTAGAATTTAGCAAATAAAATAACGCATTATTTATTCAGTAATTTTATTTTTCATTTTCAATAATACATTGTGTAGTATTTAAAATTTACAATAATTGAATTTAAAACACATAAAATATGATTAAAATTTGGGTAGAAATTAGGAAAATGATTTTTTTTTTAAAAAAAAAAAAAAAGAGTTGAAACTAAATTAAAATTTAGATCTAACTCATTCGGATCCATTGAGTGAATTATATCAACGAAAATTAACTCGTGCTCGTCAAATTATCGCGAATAGTTGTAATGCTCGATCAATTGTTCGAACTTTACAAAATAATTCAATGTGTCATCAACTTAGCACTGCAATATTTCGACCATCGTCATGTAGGTTATTTAAAATTTCACATATTATTCAAAAAATAAAAAAAAAAAAAAATTTGAAAATGATTTAATTGAAGTAAATAATTTCTTATTAATTAATTTGTAACTATTTTCTTAATTTTTTTTTTTTTTTTTTCAAAATAGTACTCAAATTTCACATGAATTAGAAATAAAAATTGTGAACAAAACAAAAAAGAAAAAAAAATTAAACTTCTAAATTTGATATTGTATTTCTGTTCCTTTTTTATCATATGATAATTTATAAATATCATATAAATTAATTACTTAGAAAATGACAAATGATCAAATGAACATTGTTCACTTAAAAAATTATAAAATTTTGAAAATTATCAAATAAATAACCATCTTTGCATCTTTGCTGTACTTATTAATAAAACTAACTCTAAGCTATCCAATACTGATTTCATTTCTTTGATTTCAATTCGATCAATTATAATATCATTTTCTTTCATCATTAATTAATCTATCGCTATCATTAATATCATTTAGAATGAATAATTAAACCTTTAAAATATGTGTAATCTATTAATTAATTGTAAATTTCATTATTTGTACAGCATTTAAATAGATTTGAAGTATATTATAAGAATTTATTTATATTCATAATGAATTTAGTTCTTAATTAATTATAATTAGCTTATAACAATAAGCTAACTTATAGTATATTATAAAAATTTAACTTATTGAAGCAGGAATCTTAAAAAAAAAATGTAGGTTAATTAGTTAATTAATTAACTAAAGGGAAAATTATTGCTGAATTGAAATATGATGAAGTGAAAAGACGTACAAGTGCGTTAATCAGTGGTAGAAAGAAGATTCGTCATTTGGTTACAATCGTTAAAATTATTTCTACCTGGAAATTATCCAAGCATCTGCAATTATTTACAAATGCTTTGGCTCGATCAACGATCAATTGTATGTACTCAACAAATATCATCAATATCATCACTATCATTATCATTATCACTATCATTATCACTATCGTTATCATTATCATATCCTTTATGCACTGTATAGTTGTGAATGTTGCACATTTATCCATCATTAATCATCCATTGCACTATTTCATCCCTAATATTAACTAACTTACCCATTGAAATTAAATTAAAATTATTGAAAAAAAATTGATTATCACAACCTTTAGTTTATTTTTTAATTAATTATTAAGCATTTAATTAATTAGTTTAATTTCTAATTTCATCCCATTCATTTTCATCTGATTATTTCCATTTTAATTATCATATTGTTGTTTTTGTATAATGTATTTTATAAGCATGAAATAATTTAGCTGAAGAAAAAAATTTATAATAATTCATTTAATATTGGCAAAAAAAAAAAGCAAAGAAAAAGAATTATAATAATTCTAATTAAATTATTTTCTATTATAATTATTAATTAATGAAATTTTTGTGATAGTTTCTAAGATAATTTAATGTTTTTAGTTAACTTAATATGATATTATTTTTTGTTTTTTTTTTTACAATTAAGCTTATCAATGAATTTAAACTTATCACTTTGTTAATCAAATGCACAATATTGTATTATCCTTTGGCATATAGAAGAAATAATTAAATTAGAATTATCCCTTTTTGCATAATTGAAAATGTTTTTTTCCCTCATATTTTGTAATAATAATTCTTATTTATATATTAAATTCTTTTTTTAGCTCAAGAAATGAAAGAAACGTTGCATAATACATCCCATAGTAGTGGTTAGTTTTATTCTATAAAAATTTATGATTTCTAAAAATTATGAACTAAAAAAAAAAAACCACAAAAAATTATTTCAAATATTAAATTTGAACTTATTTTCTAGATTTAAATCATAATTTACTTTCCAATTGCTAAATTTAAATTTGAATTTATTTTCTAAAATTTCCAATTAATTTTATCATTCTTTCCATTTTTTCCTTTTTTTTTTTTTTTTTTTTGCAATATCATCAAAATAAATAGTTCATTGTTTGTAAAATTATAATAACATTGATAGAATGAAATTAATATAATTAATTATTTGCTAATTTATTAGTAATATAAGTAAAGAAAATTATTATTCCTTTGAACATATGAGCTAATATAAATTTGAACCATAATAAAATTTCAACAAACTTTTTTTTTTTAACTTTTCAAATGACTAATTTCAAATGTAATTAATTTCCAGGTGCATTTTCACGTTTACGAGAATTTACGGATGAGGAGAGTAATATGTGTTTACTGATGAACCGAGTTGTTGATATTGATAATCCGGAACGATACATTGTTTATTTGACCGTTTCTCTATTTGTATCATTTCTTTGTAAAAATAAAGGTGGCGATGAGAAAGCAAATGCTAAAAAACAAAGTTTATTATTTCGACATTTTAATGCTCTCATTGGTTACAGTAATTCTGAGAAATGCTTCACCATACCACCAAAAATATTACGGTTTGTTCAAATATTTAAATATAAAATTTTAATTGTAATTATTACTTATATTTTTTTTTCAAATTACATATTTTAACTTAATTATTTGCTAAATTTTTTTAATTAGTTATAAAATAAGCTAAAAGTCAAAAAGATATCTTTGTAATGAATTTAAATTATTTGCAATAATTAAGTTAAAAATATGAAAAGAAAAAGAAAATACGATTTTATATTTAAGCTAAAAAAAAAAAAAAAAAAAGAAAAATGCTAAAATATTTCAGCAAATCAGCAGTATGTAATAGCTTTTTAAGTGGTTTACCAGAAATTTTGGATTGCAATTTGGTAGTGGGTAATCAGGTAAAATAATTAATTACCTAAAAATAATTAATAAAATAGTTCTTTTTATACTAAATTTAAAGTACTTTTTTAATGTATATTAGCTAAAGTTAAAAGTATCTAATTACTATTTCAATGCTATCTTATCAATAAATGATAATATATCTTTTAGCTATTTTCATATTTTATGTAAAAAATTATTTTAGTCTGTTATAGACTAAAATATTGTACTTTATAGACTAAAAGTAAGACTAAAGTATTATTTGGGATTAACTTTTTTACTCTTGTTAATTCCAAATAATTTTTACAAAATTTAATTTTAAATAATATATTACAGATTTTAATGCTTGGTGTACAACTTTTACTACATTTGCCATCGCCTCAGAAATTGGCCAGTGATCAACCATTAGTCGAATATTCACTTACATTATTGGACATTAATGCTAGGCATTTTTGGCTCAATGCAGTTATTATTATCCTTTATAAGGTTTTTTTTTTTTTTGAAATTGAAAAAAAAATTTTTTTTTCAAATATTTAAATTACCTATAATATGTTTATATAATAATGAAGTAATGATTTTTTTTTAATGTTATAGTCGTTTGAAAAAGTTGGAATCGAAGCAAAAAAAAATTTTGACCTAAATAATAAATAAAATAATAAATAATAAATATTTTTCACGTTACTCACGTGGAAAATAGAAGAAAAATATTCAAATTAGGCATCTACAGGTTTTATATGTTTGGTATAAAAATATTTGTGATTTAACTTCGTTATTCTCGAGAATATTGAATTTGATGTATTAATTTGCTTTAGTCTCTTATTTTACTTATGTAACAGACTAATTAATTAATTAATTAATTAATCATTTACTGATTATTTTAAGCTTTCAATTTAATTTGTTTTATTTTGTCTTTTTTTTAAAGCATAATTTTTCTTAATTTAATATCATTTTGATTATGATTTCATCTACTTTCTACATCGATATTTATAGTATCGATATGATGCGCCACCACTTAGCGAATATTTACAAAAACTTATTTCAATAATTATTTGCACTCTTGAAGCTGAGGTAATCAATTAATTCTGTATGCTATGCACTTTATTTTATTATTTAATTTCTGATTCATTATTTCAGTTTTTTTTTCCCAATTTTAATAGAAAACACATTTGACGGTTTCACTTCTTTTTTTTTTCCTTTTCTTCAATATTTTTCAATATAATTTTAATTTTTTTTTAAAGGTTCATATTTGTAATATGAAAGCACAACCAATAAAAATTGAAATGGATCCATTATCAAGTTCTGATGAAGAAGAATTAGAAAATGATTGTGGTACTGATAAGTTACATCGACCTGAAACACTCACTGTTCTATGTTCACAAGCTAATTCTGTTATTGATGTAAGTTATATGAGTCGGAATATTTATAAAAAAATCATAGTGGTACGAAAAAAAAAAGACTTTATGTCTTGAAATGAAAAAGAATGAATTTGAATAATTTTAATTTTGTAATTTAAAATGCAAAAGAATCTTTGAGAAAGAAATTAAAATTATTTTATTGTAAATTTTCTTATATTAAATATTATTTATTTACAAGTTATTCGATCATTAATAATTGAAATGCAAAATTTTTCCTCAAATTGCATAATATCAAAATTTTCATTTTATCATTAAATTTCCAGTTTATTTTTTAATTTTTTTTTTAAAATTATGATTAATTATATGTGTATGAATTATAATGATAGTGTCATTTATTTAAGGTAAATGAAGGAAAATTAGAAGCAATTGAAGAAGAAGGTATTGAGAATGGTAAAAAGAAACAAATGGATTGCACAAAACGTCGTTTTCGAAAAAGTTTCTTTACAATAATTTACAAATATGTGTATATTATATTGTTAATTAATTTAAAAATAATTTATCATAAATTATTTTTTTTTTTTTTTTTGATTATTAGTAAGAATTAAATAGAAATGATAAATAAATAGATGTACGTTATATTTATTGCAACAAATAACGTAAATATAAAACAAACGTGTGTCATTATTTATAGCAACAAATAATGTAATCATGGATAGACGTACGTTATATTTACGTAAATATTAAACAAACGTATATTATTATTTATAGCAACAAATAATGTAATCATGGATAGACGTACGTTATATTTACGTAAATATTAAACAAACGTATATTATTATTTATAGCAACAAATAATGTAATCATGGATAGACGTACGTTATATTTACGTAAATATTAAACAAACGTATATTATTATTTATAGCAACAAATAATGTAATCATGGATAGACGTACGTTATATTTACGTAAATATTAAACAAACGTATATTATTATTTATAGCAACAAATAATGTAATCATGGATAGACGTACGTTATATTTACGTAAATATTAAACAAACGTATATTACTATTTATAGCAACAAATAATGTAATCATGGATAGACGTACGTTATATTTACGTAAATATTAAACAAACGTATATTACTATTTATAGCAACAAATAATGTAATCATGGATAGACGTACGTTATATTTACGTAAATATTAAACAAACGTATATTATTATTTATAGCAACAAATAATGTAATCATGGATAGACGTACGTTATATTTACGTAAATATTAAACAAACGTATATTACTATTTATAGCAACAAATAATGTAATCATGGATAGACGTACGTATCGATGCGGTTACTGCAATGAATTATTAGGGAATTTTGATGAAGAAACCTTGTCACTGTGTATGATTGCTTTGGAAACATTTGTTCATCGAGAACCAGCGATGGCAGCTCCAATGCTTTTTCGTATCATTAATACTGTCACCAGGTTAAATTTAATAATTAGAAAAAAAAATGAATTTTAAAAAATTAAAAAAAAGTTTGTATATATAAATATTATATAAAAGTATTGTATAAAGTTAAGTATTCTTCTAAAATTTTCATTAGTGACATAAATATAAAAATATCGTTTAAAGTTAAATATTTTTCTGTTCTAAATTTTGCATTAATAATATAAATATAATAGTGTCATATAAAGTATATAATACTTCACATAAAAGTATGGTATAAAGTTGTGTATTATATAAAGTTAAATATTATATAAATAAAATGAAATATTATATAATGAAAAATGTTTTCCTTTTTTTTTCGAAAAAAAAAATTATTATATTAAATAAATTTACTATGAAGAATTTATGATAGAGATTTTAATAGCTATAAAATAATATTTAGATTAATTGAAAGACCATTGTATCCATGGCATGACACATTGATGTTTGTTGCTGGAAATTGTCGAAGTGTTGCAAAACAATTAATTCGTATTTTATTACATCAAGTTTGCAGTTTATCATAATTTGAAATTTTTCTTATAATTTCAAATATTTTCATTTTTTTTTTTCTCAAAAAGTTTTCTTTTTTTCTATCTAACACTTTTCATTAATAATTACATTAGATTGTATGAAAAAAATGTATAATTATTAATATAAATTAATTAATTAATTGATATAAAATTTTAGCTATCATCAAGCGGAATATTTTTGCAATTATTTGATACAAATATTGAACGAGTTAATCAATTTTGGTCTACAATATCATTTGCTTTAACTGATTTTCCTGAATTAAATCCAGTTTCTGTTATTCAATATTTGCTTGAAGTTAGTCAATTACTAAAATTTGAATTAGCAAAGTAAAATTTCATAGCAATGACTATATTATTTAAATTATATAATATGATGCGATAATAATAATAATAACAATAATAATTTATAATAATAATAAATTTATAATAATAATAAATATATTATAATAATAATAATATAATAAATAAATATATAAATAATAGTAATAAAATATTGGAATGAATAATTTGTAATAATAATTCATAATAATAATAATAAATAAATAATAGTAATAAAATATTGGAATGAATAAAATTAAAGAAAACTATTTCAGGATATTCTGGAAGACTGGCCTAATCGATTGTCTCGAATTTTGTTTAATTTGTCAACGTACGTAGAGTACGTATCGCCTGATGCGTATTTCTCGCATTGGAGTATCGTTACTAACTTACTCGACTCATTCTTTCGTCAATATCTCTCGAAAGTAAGTATTTTAATTTTCTTACACAAAAATTCTAATTTTTCTTATTTTACTTTAACCCACTTTTATTCTATTTTAATACTTTGTTTTACATTCATTTCTTTTGATGTTTTGATGTAAAAGAAAAAATAGTTGAAATTTTTGGTCAATTTTAATCATTTTAGTTTAAGCTTTTTATAGTAATTAACAGTAATTACTGTAAACATTCATACAATTAGACGACTGTCAGTTATTTAATTTCTCTTATAAATACTTTTAAAAATTTTTGTTTTTTAAATTAGTTTAAAAGTCTATTTTAAACATTGAATTTGCAGATTCAAGCACAAACTGATAGGAATCCAATTCGTACTGAATTAAAAAATTGTATCGGTGTAATGGTAGCTATTTTACGTGTGCATAACTTTTCTACATTTAAGGTTTGATTTTTTTTTTCACTTTTTTTTTTATTTTAGTAATACTGGAAGAATGCTTTTTTTTTTCGATTAATTAATTAAGAAAATTAGAAAAGAATTTTTTCGATTAATTAATTAGGAAAATTAGAAAAGAATTTTTTTCGATTAATTAATTAAGAAAATTGAAAAGAAATATTTACATAACTTGAAAAGGTCCATTAAATTCATAATTTAAATTATTAGCTGAATAATTATTACAGAATTCAATATCGCTAGTAGAAGGATTCTCGAAATGGCTTACAGAAGTATTACATGAATGTAAAGTTGATTTATTAGATCTTTTAGCTGTTTGTACGGCATGTAATCGTGCTTTATTAAGGGTAAAATTTGCATAATTTTTTTTTCTTCTCAAATTATTCATTTAAATTTTTTTTTAATTTCATTTTTTTTTTTCAATTAATTAATTAATTTAGTAGTAACAGTACTATCATTGAATGTTAACTTATTCAAATGTTTTTTCAGGATCGTGATAAGCAATTCTTAACAAAAGCAATTGTCTCAGAGCTTGTGCAAGCATTAAAATTTAAATGTGATATGAATGAGCATAATTATATGATTGTATTAAATTTAATATTGCAAGATGCTGGTGAAGATGTTCCAGAGGAAATTATTGATGATCAGGTAAAAATTATAATTATGAATTATAATATTCTAATGTTTATTCAATTATTTAATTATTCTATTACTATATTATTATTATTTAATTATTATTATTACTAATTATTATTTATTATTATTATTATTACCGTGTTATTATTATTTATCTAATTTTACCAATTATTAATTATTACTGCTTAATGTTTTTATTTAATATTTAATTTTTATATAATTGTAATATCTATTATCTGTTTGTAAATATTATACATGCATATTTTTTTTAAAAAAGAATTTTTTTTTTTCAGATATCTTCAAGTAAAATGTTTAGTAGATTATAAAATAATTTTTTTTTATTTTCGCTATCTAGTTTTTGCTTTTTTATTCATTTCTTTATTCACAGTTATCCATTTTTTATTCTCCCATATTCTATTATTAATTATTTAATTAAAATCTTTCATTTTTTAAAGTTACTACTATTTGTCACAGTCTAGATTTAGCTTTTTAAAGATTAATAAATCATATCTTGATAGATGAAATTTTTTGTGACAATTAATTTTAATCTGAATAAATTATTTGTTATTCTTATTAATCAAAAACAAATTTTCAGTATAATACAGCAGCTTGTGATGCTGTTCGACCATATATCTTTGATTTTATTGATTTTATATCAGATTTACATGTATTAACTGAAATTAAGGTAAATATTTTATATACATTTTAAATAAAATTTTTATATTATTTGTTAGTATTTTCCATAAAATAGTTTCTTTTTTTAAAATTTTGATTTTTTTCATTGGTTTTTTTTTTTTTTTGACTAGAATCCTTTTAAATCAATTTAAATTTTAAATTGTGTTCTAGAGAATTACCAATTCTGATAGTACTGGTGGTGATATCAAATCATCCGTAGCACAAATTGTTGGCGTTGAAATGAGTCGATCAGGTGTACGTGATTCTCGAACTGTGGTAAATACTATTATCATTTGTTAGAAACATTGATAAGATTACAAAAGAATTATCATTTGAATATTTCTTTATAAAAACATGATATGATAAACTAATTTAAAAAATATTTGTAAAAATTTTCCAAATCTTTATCTTTTTTTTTTTTAATCTACTTTTCTTGACTTATTTCAGATCTATTCTTTTTTTTTTTTTTCATTCTTAGTACTTTAATGAAATATTTCACTTAAATTCTTTTATTGAAATTCCATGATCGAAATAATTTATAAAATAAAAATTTTAATGATAAAGAAAGAAAAAATAAATAATTTTAATATTAATTATTAACAGTAATATATTAATTAATTAATTGTTGATCACATTTATAAAATATATCATTGAAAGAGGAAATATATGTTGTAGAATCGTTATTTGCCATGGTTAGTATCACCGCCATCTGTGACGCAATCTACGCCAAATGCATTTGCTGACGCTGTAACAAACGTACGTTTACTTTCATGGCTGTTAGTTGGAGCACTTCAAGCTAATCAACCATGTTTACCGATACCAATTAGTTGCTCACAATATATGGCTGATTATATACATTTTGTACTTGCTGGTTTTGCTGATCAATCAAAGGTTTTTTTTTTTTTTTTTTGTTTGTGTTTTCTTCTATTTTTTTAACATTAAATTTTATTTACTTTAAAATTAGAAAAAAAAAAGGGCCAATAATTTTGATCTTTAATCTAGGTATATTTATTGAATTTTTATTAATTTGTATTAAAATCATAATTTAAATTTTGTTTTATTATTTTAAATTATTTCAATGAAAAAAAATGTTTTTTTTTTAAATTAAAATTTAGGAATCAGTTGTTCATATGTCAGCACTTTTCCATGCTTTTCATTTATGTCAACTATGGACTGTTTATTGTGAACGAGCTGCACTAACATCAGATGAGCCACAAGTTTCTTCATTAGCTAATATTTTGGACTTTTGGGCTCGAGTAACACCAGCTATTCTACAGCTTTTATCACATTCCAAAGTTGTATGTTCATTTAAATTAATTTAAGATAAGCATAGCATACACAAAACTATTATATTTCAAATATTAAATGTTAAAAAAAAAAAGAAAAAATGCTCGAAATGATAATGTCAACTAGATAATACATTTTCTTATCATAAATATTTGGAATGAGAATAATTAATTAACCTTTGACTTATTTAATAATTAAATAATTTCAGTTAGCAGATATGGTTAATTTACATTTTCTAAATACAATGCAAGCATTGCGACAGTGTAGCTCAGCTGTACTTGGTCAATTAGGCGCTATGTGGCAACCAATTCTAACCGCTTATCATGCTCAAATTCCCAGTAAATTACGATTAAAATTAGATTGCTGTGAAAATGAACCATCGTTAAACTTTGAATCATTACAACAATGGCTTAAAGGTGTACGTTATAAAATTTCACAAATTGAATTACAAACATCCGCGGCATCACCATTCTATAATGTTTAAATATATAAATAATATTATTTTTTATTTATTTATCTATCAAATTTTCTTTTTCATCTTTCATTTTCGAAATATTCCCTATTGAAAAGAATAATAAATATATTTGAAAAAAAAAAAAAAGAAAAGAAATGAATTATGCAACACCTTACTTTATTATGTATATTTTAAATATTTCCGGAATGTTTCTAAACTAAACATAATTTGATTAATTTTAATATGAAAAATGAAAAATAAATACCTACAATAATAGGATGTATTTTGTAAGTGATAATAATAGTATGAAACTTTGGTTTTTTTTAAAAGTTCAAAAGAAAATGTAAGATATTTATAAAAATTGAAATGAATTGATTTTTCTAAATGATATCTTTCAACAATGATTGTTTTAACAAAATTTGATTTTTTCTTGATCATTCATAATTATATTCGCTATTATTTACTACTATAAATGGCAAATATTTAGATAAATATATATATACATTTTCAAATAAATTAGATATTTGTCACATCATTGCAATAAAATGTTATCATATCAGATAATTTATCAATCTTATCCGATAAAAATTTATCAGGTTTTTTCCTCTTCTATTCATATAAATTTAGAAGCTGTCTTTTGAAATGAGATAATATCATTATAAAATCATCGCTTCAATTAAAATTTGCCATTGATAAAAAAAATTTTAAACAATCATTACCATATTAATCCATTCATCATTTATTTCCTTTCAAATTTCATTAAATAATACAAATTCAATTTAAAAAAAAAATTTGCATAAATAACAGCAATGTATGATAAAGCTCGAAATGAAAACACAAATTAGATATCATTGAGAAAAAAAAAAATAATAAAATAAAATAAAAATTTAAACAAATGAGGAGAATATGAGAATTGTAAACTTCCAACTCATATTGGGCATTCAAATTCAAATGAATTTAATAAAATGGAAAGATAAGCTGTCAATTTTTTTTTTTTTGTCTTTGATGCTAATTAATAAATTGCAGCTAATTATTTTAATTACTAAGAAAATAATCTTTTTTAGATAATAAATTCTTTCCTTCCTTTTTTTTTTTCCATTTTGATTAAAATTATTGTATGCTAAAATAATTTTTTTTTTTTCACTTTTATCAAAAATTTACAAAAAAAAAAAAAAAAAAACTACTTTGAGAATAAAAACTATTTTTCCCCTCTTTTAAATTTAATTCATAAAACTAAATTTTAGAGATCTAAAATAAGTAAGAATTAATGATAAAATGATACCAAAATTAATTATGAATAATGAAAGAAGTAAGTATAGAATGAAAGAAACAAAAACAAAACAAAAAACAAAAAAAAAAAAAAAAAAAAGGAAAAACTACACTTTAGGCACTTTTTTTCTTCAAAAACCCGTGCCAAAAAAATAAAGTTTTTTCTTTTTTTTTTAAAAAAATTTTTCAATTCAATTCCATCTTATTAATAATTAAAAGATTTTTTCCATAGCACAATAAATATTTAAAAAAAAAAAAAAAAAAAAAAAAGAAAAATGATTAGACATCAGTAAAGATTTTTAAATGAAAAATTAAATTGGCTTTAATAAAAATTAAATAATATAAATTGCAAAAAAAAAAAAAAAAGTATTCGTAAAATATTTTTAAAGAAAATTATTGATCTTTGATAAAATTATAAAAATAATTGTCAATAATTTTTTAATGAATGCTACCTCGAAATAATATGTTCAATGATTTTTTTTTCATATGAAATAAAAAGTAAAATTAGGGAAGGAATAATAACAATAAATATTTGCAAAAAAAAAAAATATCCAAAAAAAAAAGAAAAGACAAAAACTGGCAAAGATTAATGTAATGTAATAAACATTTCATTTTCTGTTTATTATTACATTTATAAACATTTTCTCTTCATTTTTTTCCTCTATAATTTCTAATTTTTAATTTTAAATAATTTCAACAATTCCAATAAATATACAAATTGCTAGTTTTAGATAACATTTTATCATTGCAATGTATTTGTTTTTTTTTAGGAAATAAAAATAAAAAATAATAGCAATTTATTAAGATGAAAGATGGAATTGAATTGAAATGTGAAATTGATAAGAATTAATCAATACAATGAATAAAATTAAACGTATATCACGTGAGATCAAGAAAGCAAGAAACAAAAATAGAACCTGTTATCAATGCAAATATAAAGTAAATGAATCGCGCGCATTTTAAAATACACCGCCTAACAATCCAAATTTGATCATTACATATGTCACCGAATAATTTGATAGAAAGAAATGAATTGATTAATTAATTAATTAATTAATTAAAAATTTATTCATTCCACTTACAAGAAATGAATTCTAATTTTGTAATTGAAAATTGAAAATAAAAATATATATGTATAGCAATTATTTGGAGTTATTTCATTTCTGCTCAGAAATTTACAACCAAAATTATTCATTTCTTTTTTTTTTTTTAAAATCGCCTAAAAAAAAATAAAAATAAAATAATTTATCCATAATGCAAAACTCTTTTCATTCTTCTCTACAAATTTATAATAATTATTGAGAGTCAATGATTATCAAGAAAACAAATAAATAAGTAAATATATCGATTAATACATCGCTAAGAATGATATTAGTTTTAAAATTGTCGGTGACATTAAACAATCCAATTCATACTATCACATAATTCAGTACTGATAAATTTGAATGTGACAGATTGTCAAATCAGTAAATATTAAATGAAATGAAAATAAATTTTAAAAATGAATACATTATATTAAAACTTTTGCCTGAAACACATCAAACAATAATAATTTACAATATGATACAAATTTTAAATTATCATAATCTGATGCTATAAATTTCTATCAGAATTATTAGTAAAAAAAAAAATTCAAAAATATTTGTAAATTTGTAAATGTCGGATATATTTTAATTAAGAAACTATTATTATGAGACAATTTGATTGATAATCATTCAAGCTATAAACTCAAAAATTTTTTCATTTTTTTATCATTTGCAAAATTCTGGTATTTTTTTTTTCAATCTTTCAAATCATCGAAATTTTATAATTTTAGATAAATATTAAAAGTTAAACAATGTCAGAATTACATTAAATTTTATTATTGAGAAAAAAATTTGCTTAGAATTGGAAGGAAAAATATGTAAGAAAGGAAGTTACTTTCATTTAAATTTTTTACAAAAAACAATATTTTATAATAATAATTAAAAGATTTTATCCATAGCACAATAAATATTAGAATATTATTTCATTGGTTTGCTACAATTTTCTCTCTTAATTTACAGCAAATTTTTCACAAATGTTAAAATTAAAATATAAGTTGACAGTGTGACTAATAAAATTTATTTAAATATCACTAATAAAATTTAAATATCACTAGTTAAAGGAGCTAAAAGAAAATATTAACTTGTAGAATTTAAAAATATTTTTTTCTTTTAAAAAAAAAAAAAAAGTTATGCAACATTACTTGTTGCTTCAATACATTTCAATCTGCTTAAAAAAGAACCTTCTAAATTGAAAAGTTTTTTTTTTTCTTTTTGAAACAAAAATCAATAAAGTTTAAATTAATTGTTCAATTAATTTACTCATTTAGTTATGGCTGTATTTGTTGAAATTTAAATAAAAATTTGTTGAATTTAAACAAAAATATCAAAATGGATAAGAAAAGTTTTGCCCGTTGGATTTGTCCGTAATTATCTTCTACCGGTTATAAATTAGCACTAATTTTTTTATAATTTTACAAAATTTATAAAAAAAAAACCTACAAAAAATTACCACTATTATTTTATTTGAAATTCACAGAATTTTATAGAAATCCATGCTAAAAGCATTCCATTTTAATTGAGGTGTGCTTTTTCAGTTTTTATATTGCGGAAATGTTTACATTCCAACATTTTCATCCCTTAGAGTATCTATCTATCTATGAGGAAGTTTATAAGCTCAAAATTTTAATTCACTTTTTTAATGTAACATTCCATCATATCTTTTTTTAATTACCAAAAATGAAGTTGTAAAATAAACTGTAAAGATGTGGTAGTAATGCTAAAAATTTTGAACATTTACGAATTCATAGCAATTCCGACATTTACAACTTTACAAAAAAACAATTACTGTTAATAGTAATAATAATAATGATAATAATAATTATTATAAAAAATAAATAAATAATAGTAATGAATGAATGGATTTAAAATAATACAAATATTATTATTATTTTTATTAGAGTGCTGGAAGCGCCTAATTAATATCTTTATGAGATCGGTAATATAGGGGAAAGCTTACTGTGTTAGAATTTTCTGACATTTCCCACGAATTGCCCATAGGAATTGTGCTCTATCCGTTTTTTTCCAACATTCCTTATCAAGCTCAGTTCCATTAGTTTGCACTACAATTTGCACTTCATCGTCCATTTCAGTCATACATACTTTTACACCTCTGAAAAATATACCCTTGTTTATTACTTATAATTTTATTATTATTATTTCAACAATATAGTAAATAATTTACCTACAATCACTTAAAATTCATTAATGAATTAATACTGAAATAATAATGAATAATATAATTAGTGTTATTACAAAGGAAAATCTTTTATATTATTTAATTCTAATTTTCAACCAAATACAGACTTATTAATTTAAAAAATAATAAAATTTAAACTGATATTATCGGATAATAAATAAATATATATATATTACTTTAATCCATTAGCAGCGGTACGATTTGACTCAAAAGTTAGTTGCGGTTGATTATTACGACAGTGAAATGATAAGGTACAGTCAAGATCAGTAGCTGTTCGCATAAATATTGCCATCGAATCAGGATCAAATATTGAAAATCTTAAAATTTATTACATTTTGAATCTTTTATAATCAAATATTCAAATATTGATCTTTAACAAAAAAAAAAAAATAAGAATAAGAAATTACCATTACATTTAGTTTATAGAATTATCAAAGATTTAAAAAATAACTATGAATAATGAAAATAATAATAAATATGTACTCTTATTTACTCATAAGTATTACTCTTAAAATTTCTCTCCTAGCTACTGTTTCATATTATAAACTTATTGTAATTTAATTCGAATGATATCTTAGTGAAAATGAAATACTAGCACTAATTTAACTTAATAAAATTTTTCAAAAATGAAGTTTAAAAAAAAAAAAAGAATTATTTAAGCTTTAAATTTAAATATAACCTCCATTCATTAATATTTATCATATTTTATACTTAAAATAAGTAAATGCAAAGAATAAACATTGCAAAGTTTGATAAAAACTATTAAAATTAAAATATAAAGAATTATATTAGCAGTTAAATAATAGTAATTAGTATGCAAAATAATAATAATAATAAAAAAACATACGAATCTAAAATATGTGCTAACGATGTGCTCAGAGATGCAATAGACTGATCAGTAGCATTTAAATGATTTTGAATTGATGTTAGCAAAGAGTTTGAAGCATTTAGTGCTGCTAAAGCATTACCATTACTATTCTAAAATTCAACTTTCATAAATCATTGTCATTTTTATGTATAATCTTTGTAAAATTTAGGAATATCCTATGTCTAAAATTTTTTTAACAAATTCATTTCCACAAAAATTAATGAAATAAGGAAGTTTTTTAAAAATAAGGAAGAATAAATTTGATGATTAAATTGTTAAATTTAATTAAACTTATCAATTCAATTAAATCTTATCACTGTTAAACATTTTTATCAAAAATTTACTTAAAATATTTTGAAACAGACAATTATTAGCATTATATTTATAAATTAATTATTTGTTTATAATAAATAAAAAATATTTACCTCTTCTAACTTTCCATTAAATGATAAACGACGATGATCAGTGTTACCGGTATAACCAGCAGTGATATTGATTATTTCAGATGTATGTGGAATAGATGATAAGAAGTTACGTGATTTCTACAATTGTATAAATAAAAAATTAAGGATGCATCATATTCAATTTTATACTTTAAATTTTAGCAAAATATTAATCATTAATTAAATTGGCTGATAAGTTTTTTTTTTTTTTTTCTTTTATAAATTTTAAAAATAAATTTTATAAATAAATTCAATAAATTTTAATGTAAATTTCAAATTCAAATAAATTTTACAGAAATTTATTGTGAAATTTAACTTACAAAAAAAAAAAAAAAGGAAGAGAAAGTATTACTTAGAGAAATGATAATAAAGATAAGAGATGGATGTAAAATTAATGAAAATAAAAATTAAAAATATACCTCTTCAGTGTTCTGATCTAATTGTGCAAATGTTGTAAATGCTGTATTCAAGCTATTGCCATTATAAATACAATCATTAATTGCATTATGATTAATATTTTTTAAATTTGCTGTATAGCCATTTGAAATTAATGGTGATAAACGATTACGTTTGTTATATGGTTGAGTTGATGACTAAAAATTTACAAATTTATAATATTTAAAAAGAATAAACAAATAAAATATAAAAATTAATCATTTAATAAAAAAGAAAGCAAAATAAAAAATAATTTTCTGTAAGTTAAAATAATGCTAAAAAAAAAAAAAAAAAAAAAAAAACTTTTTTTTTTGCTAAAAAAAAAAAACTTTTTTTTTTGCTAAAAAAAAAAGTAATTTTCTAACCCAACGAAATGATTCAATTGATGATGTTGTTGTTTCATCCAACTGTCCAATTAATTCATTATTTATCAATTGTGTTTGTTGTGTTTTATCACACAATATACCCACTCGTTGCTCAAGCCAATTTTGTGTTGTAATAATTCTACTACGATCTAATTCATCCATTGTTTGCATTTCAATTCCATTTAATTTATCATAATCTCGACCAATCTGTTGTTGCTGTTGTTGTTCTCGTTCTCGTTCTCGTTCTCGATCTTTTGAATGTATTGCTCGTAAATGTCCCCACATTGTTTTTGTTGAGCTATCTTTACGTTTTAAAATTTTTCCACAATGTATACAACGTACATTACCATCAGATAAACGCATAAAATGTCGCCAAACATTTGATGGTTTAAATTTTTGTGATTTTTGTTTCTTTATTCCATTATCACCAGTACTAGTACCAGTAGCATTAGCATTAGCACTAGTACAATTATCATTATTATCATAATGATAATTTTCTGGATTTATTATAGCTGATGATGTTAATCGTGCTAACATTTCCATTGAATATTCACCAATATTATTTAAATTTAATAAATTATTTCCATCATTAATTTCTTTCGTCTCATTAACTGCCATCATAGGTAGAATGGTTGAAATTTTTTCATCTGTTGATAAATTATTGTTGTGATTTACAATCATTTTATCATTACTATTATCATTGCTAGTATTCGTTCCTGAATTTATACAATCATCCGATCGAAAAATATCCAAATTGGCATGAAAAGTTTCGTTATGATTCTCTACCATTCGTTTTATTTCTGAAAAAAAAAAAAAAAAAAAAAAAATTGTTTTTTTTTCACTTAAGAAAACAAATAAACAAAATTTCATTTTGAACATGATATACGTACTAATAAATAATAAATATGCTAAAAATATTCATTCATAATATTTATAGAAGCAAAAAAAAAAATAATATAATCAAAAAAAGAAAAATTTAATTAAATGAAAAATTTTAAACGAATAGAAATTAGTTGCTTAGAAAAATTCATAGGTATGTATGATTGTAATAAAATAATTATATACTTTAATAATACGAAAGTTTTTCAATTATTGAATAAACATACTTTAACTTATAGATGGATTAATTAGCCGAGCGGATTAATCCTAAAAATCTCAATTTATGTGTAGGTATATGGAGGGATGGAGGGTAATGATTTATGGTGATGATATGAATGAGAGAGGAAGGTGGAGTGACCCTAAGTATGAAATGACCTTAAGTATGGAATGGTCTAAATAGGATGACCTTAAGTATGGAATGGTCTGAATAGGATGACCCTAAGTGTGGAATGGCCTAAATGGGACAACCCTAGGTATGAAATGGTCTAAATAGGATGACCCTAAGTGTGGAATGGCCTAAATGGGACAACCCTAGGTATGAAATGGTCTAAATAGGATGACCCTAAGTGTGGAATGGCCTAAATGGGACAACCCTAGATATGAAAATGTGGAATGGCCTAAATGGGACAACCCTAGGTATGAAATGGTCTAAATAGGATGACCCTAAGTGTGGAATGGTCTAAATAGGATGATCCTAAGTGTGGAATGGTCTAAATAGGATGACCCTAAGTATGGGATTGTCTCAATAAGGAATACCGCTCCTCCCCAATAATTGAAAGAAATGGAAAGGTTACTTAGAGAAAGTAATTTTTGCTTTCATCAAAGGGAATTACTCCTAACGGTATGCTTTATACATTTCATCACGTTGCATTACGTCATATCATATCAGGCAGGTAATAATAAACTAAAAAATCTTTGAAAAATTTACTTTTTATTTTAATCAATTTGTTATTGTGTTGTGACATATGACGTGAAAGCATATGACGGAATGTGTAAAGTTTACTATTAGTAATCATTTGATCATATAAATTTCAAAAAAAAAAAAAAAAAAATGATAATTCCATCAAACAAAAAATAAAAAAGTAAAAAAAAAAAAAATGAAGAATTTCAATTTTACATTAACCATTTAAAAGCTTTTTAGTATCGATCATATTTCATTGTATAATTTTGAGACGATCAAAAGATTTTTTTTTAGAGTTTAACTAAAAATTATGCACTGAGATTTATGTGAAATTTTTTGATAGCAAAAAAATGTAATTTTTGGTTTAAAGTTTAATTTTCTTTTTCCTCTCTTTCAAAAAAAAAAATTAGCTTAAATTTTAATACTTTGCAATGTTAGGGAGATACTTTAAGAGAGATGAGAAGAAGAGATAATTAAGGAAGAAGTCATATTCACACTCAAAAAAATGGACAAAAAGCAATAATAATGTTCAAAGAATTTTGAAGTGAAAAAAATAAACAAATAAATTTTAAGATAATAATTTATGTTTGATATGAAAAAAAGAAGTGTTCGAGGATGAACAGAGAGAGAAATTTTTGATTAGCATTGAAAAATTAATGTTACGGTATTAGCGGAGAAAAATGGATTTCAAATTTAGCTCATCCCTCTCTCTCTCTCTCTCTCTCCCTCTCCCTCTCTCTCTCTCTAATATTTAATCTCTAAAAATCATTGACCTTTTAGCCATTTACTATAATTGGATGTCAGACGAGTCATTATAATATATCTTAAATTGTCTTTCCAGTAATAATTTCACTTATTGTGATATAATTTCATTCAAAATGTCATCTCTAAATGCAACAATGACCTATGTATAATAAGGATTGGGAGAGAGAGAGAGAGAGAGAGAGAGAAGGGGAGGAGAGGAAGAGAAGAGAGAAAAATCTTTGATCTGTAATTGAGTAAACTATCAATGGATGAAAAAAATTAAGAATGAAATAAAGTGATAAAAATATGATATTTATAAATAACTATATCAATCAGATCTGATTAAGAAAATAGTTCGAAAAAAAAGAAACATTTAATTCAATCTTTTAATCTTGAAAATTTGATAAAAGAAAAGTTCAATTTTAATAGGTAGCAATTGTTGAAAAATGATAAATAACATAGATGAAATAAGTTCAGAAATAAAGAAAAAAAAAAAAAAAAAAATAAAAAATGGAAAAAAAAAAAAAAAAATTAAATATCACAGTAATAAAATTATAATGATAATTGATTATTGATTGATTGGTGCGGAGATTTTCAAAAAAATTTTCCAATTTCTTTTTTCATTTTTTGTTTTTTTTAGCTTAAGTATATAGCAAATAATTATATTTTCAACTATAAACCGTTTAATAAAATGATTAATGTTAGCAAAAAAAAAAAAAAAAACAAAAACAAAAAAAACAAAAATAACAACAAAATCATTAAAATTTGTTGAAAAAAAAGATTCAAATAAAATTAAATAATTTTAAGAAATGATAAATTTCTTACAGATTATGTGTGTGATAAGATAAAAAATAACAAAATAATTAGCGTATAAGAGAATAAAAAAAAAAAATAGTAACATAGTATTAAGAGAGAGCTTTTTTTGTTTAAATTTTTTTCTAATTTTCTTTTCTTCTCTTTTTTTTTTCCACCATCTATCTATCGCTTTTTGTTTTTTTTTTCAAAAATTTATAAAATATAAATTAATATACCAAAAAAAAAAAAAAATTCTTATAAAAGCAACAAAATAATTATCTAAATTATCGTATTATTCTTTTATTAATTTTTATTATAATACATTGCAAAATGTTATCAAATCTAATTGTATCATTAGGAGAAAGTTAAGATTTAGTATTTATTTGTTAAATTATTGAAGAACAAAAAGAGAAAAAGTGCTTTTATTTCTTTTTTTTTTTTTCTAATCTTTTAATCTTAGAAAGAGTTGAAATATTTTATGGGTTATAGGTCAACTAAGAAGAAAGGTATTAAAAAGAAAGGTATTAAATCAGGAAAAGCAGAGAAGCTACAGTCAAGAAATGAGGTACTAAGAAAGGTGCAACCGAAAAAAGATGTACTAAGAAAAGCGGTACAGCCAAGGAAAGAGGTAAAGCGAAGGAAAGAGGTACAGCCAAGAAAAACGATACAGCCAAGGAAATAGGTACAGCCAAGGAAAGAGGTAAAGCGAAGGAAAGAGGTACAGCCAAGAAAAGAGGTACAGCCAAGGAAAGAGGTACAGCCAAGAAAATAGGTACAGCCAAGAAAAACGATACAGCCAAGGAAATAGGTACAGCCAAGAAAATAGGTAAAGCCAAGAAAAGAGGTACAGCCAAGGAAAGAGGTACAGCCAAGAAAAGAGGTACAGCCAAGGAAAGAGGTACAGTCAAGAAAAACGGTACAGCCAAGGAAAGAGGTACAGCCAAGGAAAGAGGTACAGACAAGAAAAACGGTACAGCCAAGAAAAGAGGTACAGCCAAGAAAAACGGTACAGCCAAGAAAAGAGGTACAGCCAAGAAAAACGGTACAGCCAAGGAAAGAGGTAGTTAAACGCATATTATTAAACCGATCGAGAATCTTTAGCTATCTATCTGTTATTTTTTAATTTTCACTTCAATCTGTATTGCATTATTCTTTGTTCTTTATTAAAATCTGTTCGAATTTATCAGAATATTATTTTACAAAGTAAAAATATAATATCGATTAGATGCATATCGATTAATAGCGTCAATTTTATGGTTTTTTAATTAAAATTTTTTAATTTGATTACTTTTTTATCTAATTAGAATTCATTTTTAGCAATAATGAATAGCATACAGTTTATTGTTATCTCAATTAATTCTAATATTTTAATATGTATTTTTCAATGGTTGTAAATTTTAAATTATATTCATCTTTTATTATTTTTTTTTTCTTTATTAATTCTAGTATTTTAATATGTATTTTAATTATTGTTTATTATAAATTATATTTATATTTAAGTAATTGTGTGTTTTATTATATTTAAATAATTACGCATCTGATATAAATTCAAATAATTTAAATAACTATGTTTCAAATTAAGCAAAGAAATAAACAATAATAATATTTAAATTATTAGCTACTAATTGATTTTTCAACTATTCTCAATAAGCTTAATTAAAATTTTCAAATCTTTTAACAAAAAAAAAAAAAAAACTATATTATTGCCAACAGTTATAAGCAATTGTTAATTGTCACAAACGGATGGAGAATGATAAAAATATTAAAAGTAAAGTTAAAAGTGAAAAACAAATTCAAATCAATTCAAAATTCAAACTAACAAGAATAATAATATTTAAATTATTAACTGCTAACTAATTTTTCAATCAAATTCAAATTAATAAATAATAACAATGACAATTTCAAATTAATTTCAGACATTTCATTTTACATAAAATCCATTTGATATATCCAAAGAAATGCAAAAGTTAATAGTGAATAAAATATGCAATGAATATTTGGATCGAAAAATTTTCCATTCCTAAACGGATAAGAAGTAGTCTGTCATCAAAGTCATCTAATTATCATATCTTACTATCAAATTTATGACAATGAAAAACTTGAAATAAAACTAATGCAGAAAGAAAAATGAAAATAAGAAGATTTGATAATGATAAGATAATGATAAACTGATAATATTTGTTGGTATGGCATAGTAATGTAAAGTTAATTTCTAATAAATCTTTTGGTGATTTGAAATTTATTCTTATTTAATGTTCAATGAATGAATAATTTCTGAATTGCATTTGTTTACATTTTACAATGAATGAGGGAGAGAGAAAAGAGAGAGAAATAGAGAGGAGAGAGAGAGAGAGAGAGAGAAAGCTGTAGAAGAAGAAATTATTTTAACAAATTTTTACAAAAATTTTTGAAAAATTAAAAGAGTAAGCAAAGAGTTGGAAAAAAGAATGTAAAATGAACAACATTAAATCAATTTAAAATTTTTTTTTTTTCATATTTAGCTTACTTATTTGCTCTGTTTGCTTAGAATCTGAATTTTGAGAGAGAGAGAGAGAGAGAAAAAGAATAGTAAGTTTCGAGGCAAAATTTTGTTAAATGAAATTTAAGTAAGTAACTTAACTTGTATTCCCTTATTGGATAATAATGAATTCATTGAAATCAATAAGTTAATAAGTTTTATTCAATTTCCTGAGGAAAATATTCACAAATATCAAGTATTATAATTGCAATATTACTTATTTTTATTATCAACAGAAATTTATTAAAATTAAAGATACAATCATATGTCATATATAATTCAAACGATTAAATTATCATATCATATCACATCATATCAGTAGTTTATCATTAAGAGTATCGCTCAAAAATATGTTTGTAAATTTACATTTAATCAAATTGATTATTTACAAGGAAAAAAAAAATCATCAAGTGAAGTATTTATCCATTATTGTACTACACTTTTAATATTAAAATTTCTTTCTATAATAAACAAAAATAATTTATAATTTTATTTCCTTCTAATTATTTCTGTCTTAATTTCTACAAAATAATGAAGTATCAAATAGTAAAATAAAAAATAAAAAGAAAAAACTTAATATTAATTGTTCCTTTTAACATTTTTGGTTTTATGTGATAGCGGAAGAAGAAAACAAATGATAATTTCAGCTACTTCCTACTATTTACTCAATCATAACGAATATTTATCAGTAATAATGGATTATTATTTTATTAATTTGTAAATTAAGTATAGCGTAATAGAAAGAGCAAAAGAAAAAAGTTAATTCTTTGGTATTTTCCAACCAAATTAATTAATCAATTTCATTCTATTATTTTGTATTTGATAATTAAAAATTATCATTTCATTATTTAAAAAATCTAAATATCATTTTACATTTAATCTAAAATAATGAAATTAATGCTAAATTTGAAATAATAAAAGAGTTAGCATTGAATATATACTTTTTAGATTTGCTATATAGAAGTAATTCTAAAATTTGAATTATTCCGATCAACAAATCAGTAGTCTAAATGTATCATTTGCTATTCTATCTATCCTTAATGTACAACAATAAATAAACATACCGCCGTCTACCTGAGATATCTGAAAGCTTTCAAATGAAATTGAAAACCTTCGAAGGTATTAGCAATTACAACAATTCAAGATTGAACGAAATGAGAAGAAAGGGGGTGGAAGGAGGGAAATGGCAAGGCGGTAGTTGTATGCAATCTCAAAACAACACAAACGTGGGCGGGGGAGGTTCAAGCAACCAGCCAACACCGCCACCCCCTCCCCTCCCTTACATCCATCCATCCATCCAGCCAACCATCCATACACCCTTCTGAACATCGGACGGACGAGACAGGACGGGGTGGGACGGGACGGGACGGGGCGGTAAGCAACACACTCGTCCACCTACGCACACACATACGCACACATAATGTGCTCTCTGACTGAATAATGGAGAGGGTTTAGCAGATAGGAAAAGAGAGGGGTATGACAGGAGGGGGGACAACCCCGCGGGGCCGTCTTATTGCAACACTTCACTAGAATGACAGACACGAAAGAGATGTTTATTGGACGGGGCTCTTCTCTTTGCCCCAACCCCGCTTGCGTATTAGTATTAGCTGAATTGGACTTATTGCTCCCCCCTCCTCTTCTCTCCTTACCCTATTCCCGTATTACACCCACCATCTATCTATCTATCCATCCACCGCCTATCTAATCATCCAGTATTCTCCCCCTACCCTCCTCCCCTGCCTACCCAATCCCCTCTTTCTCCCCGCCGTTTTCTTTACATCACGTTTACGCCACCTGCTGTAACGTCACTTTCTCTTCCTCTTCCGTTTCCATCATTTCTTGTTCTTCATAACCCCTCGTCTAGAAATGATCTTTGAAGACCTGAAAAGTGTTAGATAGATGGATAGAAAGGGTAGTCAATCATACATTCCATCTCGCATTACCTTTTCACCTCATTCCATCATCCATCGTTGTTGTTATTAGAGCCAAAGAAGCACCATTAGCCTAGAAATACGTCAGAGCTAACTGAAGATACCCGAAGAAAACCCCTTCCCATTCATTCTCTTTCCCCTTTTCCCTTTCCCTTTCCCTTCCCCATTCCTTTTTCCTTTTCCCTTTCCCTTTCCCTTTCCCTCTCCTTTTTCCATCCCTCATCTTTACATCCATCTCCTCATCATCATCATCATCCTACGAGAGTCTATTTCCGGATGCCACTACCCGTTCTCATCGATTCGAAAATTGCACGTAAAGCTCTATCGCAACTTTCTACTTCAATCGTCAACATGAACGATGACGAAGAGCCTTTAAGCTTCTCCTCGGGGACAAGCTTACTTCTGAGGCAAAATGGTTCGGTTCCTGCTCACTTCAATTTCTTCTTCATTCCTCTCTCTCTCTCTCTCTCTCTCTCTCTCTCTCTCTCTCTCTCTCTCTCTCTCTCTCTCTCCTTCTATCTATCATCTTCATTTTTCATTTCTCAAATCACTTTACTTCCTTCAGTTAAAAACCATTTTCATTAATTCTCTTTCATCCATTTCATCAAACTTATCAAAAATATATTAAAAAAAGAAGAAGCACGAGTATTCATTCCATTTTAATTAATCATTATTCATTACTGTGATAATGTTAATCTACAATAACTCATATTTTCTCTAATTATTATTAATAAAAACACAAATATCACATAACTCAATGTCATTATCATTTAATAATAATAATAAATTTAAAAAGTAAATTTTGAGTAAAAATTACTATTACTAATGTCAATAATGTTTCAAGTATTTCCTTAGGTTAATTATCATATTCTGTAAACAGTACAGAAAGATCGAAACATCTTACTATTTGCTACAACAATTATTTGCAGAAACATATCATTTAAGTTTAATTTTTTTTTTTTTTTTTGCTAATTTATTATTATTTAAAAAATTGGATTAATTAGTCCAATTTTTTCAATTGTTTAATGTTAATCAATCACAAACAACATTTGTGATTGATTAATTTATTTCAATCTTCTTTTCCGGTTCCCTGTTCAATGTAAATTACTATTACTGTTACATAAATACAATTAGTTTATGATATCAGTAATAATAATAATAATAATAATAATAATAATAATAATAATAATAATAATAATAATAATAATAATAATAATAATAATAACAATAATAATAATAATAATAATAATAGCTACTGACGCAAGAAATGTCTCGTAATCATGAATACGTACGTAATACGTGATATTTGTTATGAGCGAATATTATATGTCATTACTTTCAAGTGAAACTCTATCTTTTAATATTATAATCATTTCTTAAATTTCTTTTTTCCATTTGATCATATAAGTTTTGATCAGTAATCAATTGATTCCGTTCTTGACTGATTGGTAAATGATAGTATCACTTCAGAATTTGATTCAACCTTCTACGGCAAACAACAACGATCATATCATTAAGCTATCGTGATGAAGCATAATTCAAATTGAATAGGAAATATTTTTATCACCTACAAAAATTTTTATTCACTTTGATTTATTTGGAATAAAAAAGTCAAAAAATGAAAATTTATGACAGTTTTTCGATTGATAACTTATTATCAGATGAAGAATTAGGGAATTATCAAAAATTATTATTAGATGAATGAAAATTAAAATTGTCTGAAGATTAAATAAAATTCAGATGCTTAAAATGCTTTGTTGTCTAAAAAATTTCCTCAAATCTTGTATACGTGAAAAAAGAAAGCGTATCATTGCACGTACGTGATACTTTTCACGCAATGATACTTCCCAAAGATGATTGATAATAAATTTGAATAATTTATTAATTAAACATACATCTCTCTACATTTATGCAGATCTAATTTATGCAACATATCATTTTCCTACCGCAAACTGAAGTTCATCTATTTTCAGAAATAAAGAAAATCCTAAATGTTTCCGGAATTTCCGGTAACTAAATTTAATGAGAAAAATTTAGCCTTATTTTGGTTAATTTTGAAATGGGTTATTAAAATATGAAGAAAAATTCAAGCAAATCTTTTGATTGATAAAATATTATCAGAAGGGAAAAAAAGAGCATGAATTAAGGATTATTTCATGGAACTGTTAATAATTAATTAAAGATGATAATCTGTTAATATTTTAATGAATGATTTTGGCCAATCTAAAAATGAGTCATATCTTTTTGCACTATTAATTTTGAATTATTAAAATTTTAGGTGAAAGATGATCAATTATTTGATATCTTTTTCATTTACAAATAAAAATTTGTATGATATTTGTGCCTTAATCATTTCAATTAAAATATTTATACTTTAATCATTTCATTTTCATTTAAAATAAACATTAAATTAACAATTCCAACGAAACTTGTCATTTTATATTTTTCTCATATCATTTATATAAATTTTTTAGTATTTTAATTTTTTTTAAAATATTTCATTCATTATTATTCCTACCTTAAACCATTTACACTGAAAATTTACACTGAAAATCGCCACAAGAATGTAAAATTGACTTTGTGATTCAATTATTCCACCAACAAAAAAAAAAAAAATTTTGTTAATTTAAATTATAGCAGAAAGAAAAAAATTAATTTTTAATTTATAAAAGACTAACAAAATGTGAGAAAAATTTTCTACCGGAAAATTTGATCGAGAGACACAAATTTTAAAAAAAAAAAATCATGAATTTTCACTGGAAAATGAAATACGGAAATTTATCAAATAATATTTGTTTTAAAATATATATATATATAAAAAAGAAAAAGAAAAAAATGTACTGAAAGGATGAATAATGTTAATAGTTTGTTAAATTTAAAAAATTTAAACTATAGCATAACTTCAGCATTCATTTCATTTGTTCATTTTCCTTGAATGTTGCCATAATTGGAATTTAAAAAGGGAAGAATGAAAAAAAAAAGTGAATTAGAAGGTTAAAATTAAAAATTATATAGTGCATAATATCATTGTGGATTAAACTGTAAATTTTTGATAAATTTTTATTTTTTTTTTATTTTATTTTTATTAAAAGGAGATTAATTTCAAACTCCTTTTTTGTAGGAGTTTATTATGTTTAAATGACTTTAATTATTTTTAAATCTAACTTTTTCATTTGATCTTTGATAAAAAATAGAAATGAATGGATGCATTTATTTGTAAGAGAAATGAAATTAATTTATCTGATGTTTGCCGATGAAAAAAAAAAAAAAAAAAAAAAAAAAGGAAAAGATAAAATATGATCTGCGTGATAATAATTTAAAGAGAAATATTTTATTTTCTCATTTTAGTTTATTTAAAAAAAAAAAAAAAAAATATTATTCTTTTGAAAATTTACATAGTTAAAGCAACGTGATAATGAAATTATTTGAAATGTAATTGAACTTTTTGAAAATAATAAAATGTTTAATGAAAATATAAAAAGTAAATAAATAGAACTTTTAAAAGTTTACAATCCGTTAATTTAAATACAGACGATAATATCACAAATTAATATCATAAATGATTTCATAAATAAGAAAGAAATGTTAATTTTTACTGTTTCGTTTGTATTGATGATAATGATTGTACGCTGATGAGAATGATAATGATGTTAATGATAGCAATATGGCTTTGATGATGATGATATTAGTGAGGTCTTGTAGAGGTAATGATAATATGCTAATGAGGGTGATAACGATTTGATGATAATATCAACGTGTATGCATCAAGTGTGAATAGATTTCTTCACAAATCGTTCATGAAGCCAAGTCGTAATATTTATGACAGTAATATGGATAGTATTGATGGTGTTGATGATGATGACGATTATGGTGATAATGATGGTAATAATAATGATGATGGTGATGATAATGGTGGGTAGATAATGATGATGATAATAATGATGATATGTTGTTGATGATGGTATGGATGTCGTTATCGATGATGACATAAATATTGTTGATGATGATAAGGAAGAGGGAAATAGTGCAATAATAATAATGATAATGATGATGATAAAAGTTATGATAATGATATTAGTTTGATAGATAGTATGTTAAAGCAAAAATAAAGCAAAAATTAGAATATCATAAAAATTCTTACACAGAATGAACGAAAAATTATTTGTCATCCATTTGAATTAGACTAATTTTAATTTTTAACCAGAACATTTATATTTACTATTAAATATTATAATTTCAATTAATATTATCATTAAAGCAGAAATGAAGAATTGATCAATTCAACTGAAATAATTATCCATGCCATTATAATTTTTCATTTTTAAAAGGTTAGGAAAATTTAATTTTTTGCTTTTCTATAATGCTAAATTGTTTGTTTTCATTATCATTAGTCTTCCGTGTCATATTTCTAGCTCATTATTCAATCATTTCATATCAACAATTGTTGTTATTTAATTTGAAAGCAAAAAATTTTTCATTCAGCATATGCACTGTTGAAATGAAAATATAACACGACAAAAAAAAAAAAATTAAAAAAAAAAAAAAAGAACGACAAAAAGAAAATTACAAATTCTCTAAAAAAGCTTTAAATAAGAATGTTATTCCTTCCACTTAGTATTTTTGATATTTATATTTATCAATTTGAAAAATTTTTTGCTTGCTTTTTAAATATTAATTAATGATATTTATATCAATTACTGTCAACTACAGTAAAATTTCCTTTTTTTTTTTCTGCTTGTTTGCATCAAATAAATTTGCAATCTTCCTATTTTACAACAATGTAAATTAATTTTTACTAACAAATAAATGAATATTAATAAGTAACATCAAATCACTACAATATTATAATTGAAATGATTATTTCTTGTGATAAGAGTTTTACAAGTGTTGCACCTTCTTTCATTACTAATTAATGATAATTAGCCCGGGAACTGATTAGTGATAAGTTTGTTGTTATGAGAGAAATTTATATTATAAAGGAAATTATATCATGGAAAGGTGAAATTTTGGAAGAATTTCAAAATTTAAAGGTGCTACACTCTTGAATAGTAACTTCTCTGCTATTATCTCTTTGCATTTATTTACCCTTTCTTCCTTTCTCCCCTTCTTTTCCTCTCTCTCTCTCTCTCTCTGTCTTTTGGCAGATGATGGCTGAAAAATTCTTTTAAAAAGTGATTTATGAATCAAATAAATCCATTGAAAGTCTTTAAAGAAATATTTAACCCACATTGTAAAACATTTTTTTTCTAACTCATTCGATATATATAATGAATCATGCCAAATAATTATAAAGTAAATTCAAAATTCCATCAACTAATAATAAAGTAAAATTTAATTAGATGACCAATCAAGGCAAAACTTTGTCAGTCCAAGAATGAAATTCATATATAAGCAAATGGTGCAAAGGATGTAGATGTGATATCTTCCCAGACAACTTTATATTCTTACTTTCATCATATTCTATTTTTTATCGTTTTTTTTTTTTTTTTTTTTTTTTTTTAAACATCTTTTATTCAAATATTTATAATAACAATTAACAAAATAACAATGTTGTTGACTGTAAAATTAGTCTCAATGTTTCCCGAGATGTAAGACACAGATTTAAAAAATAAAAACATAAAAGATCGTTTCGTAAAGTTTATATATAACTAAACATCACTAAAAAGCTTACTTACAAGATAAAAAGGATACAAAACAACATGTTTTTGTATTATTCATTAAAAGTACATACAGAAGTCTAAATAAGAAGTTTGTATCACTCTAAAATATCATTTTTTGAAAAGATTACAATTTAGATAGTCAAAAACAGCTGGATGATTACTCAGTCCATTGAACATCGTTCTTTGCCTACTAGTAAGCGAAGATCGAAGCATAAACATTAACTGCTGATGGAACAAATCAAATGGACAACCATGTTCTGTGGCCAATCGCACCTGTACGATAATTGGTAGTTCTCAATAACATTTTCAAAAATTATTGAAAATTATGATCGCAAACAGCATCAACATTAAATAATGAATATGCAAAATGATGTAAACTAAGTAAACAGACTGATTATAAGTTGCAGAATATGCAAAAAAATGTAACAAAAAAAGGGAAAAAAAAAAATCGTACCCAGTCTGCAACACACTGCTTCGGAGTAGAAGTGTAACCGGCAAACATTGCTGGATTTTCTAATAAACCATTTGCCGACATTACACCTGTAAAAAAATGATTATAACAGCATACTGAAATTTGGCTTTTATATAAAAGCTTACAAATCTCAGAAAATTAAATTCGTGTTTATGGAAATAGCTGAAATGTGTCTAAAAAAGAAAACTGGACGGACTAAATATGATGCACTTTTAAATTATTAATATAAGTTCACTAAAAAGTAGTCAATGCGATAAAAAGGATTTTAAAAAGACGTACTCATTTTAACTGAATTTCAACTTCAATGCACAAAAGTAATCACATGAAGAGTAATTTGAATTAAAGAAACAAAACCTAAAACCTTACCTAGAAGAATTAGAATTATTCTAACATTTGAAAGTTGTAAACACTATGATACAGGAATAGCTTAATAATAATTCAAGAAATTATTTCTTGTCTGTGGGAACACTTATAAAAACTAACCATCAACTCCCGTATATTTTACAACTTGCAATGCTTGTTCATAGCTTTTGATATTTCCATTAGCAATTACTGGGATAGATAGGCTTGATTTGATCAACTTGATCATATCATAATCTGCAGGTTCCGATCGTTGCTCAGGTGTTCGCCCGTGTACTGTTACAAATGAAACACCAGCTCTTTCTGCTTGACGGCATGTTTCTAAAGTTAACTGGCGATTCGGTTTTAGTCGGATTTTGATGGAAATCTAAAATATACAACATATCAATTCGCACATTTTCATTGCTATTTTTTGCTGTCAATTTGTTCATTACTATCAATTATCAAGAAAAATTTCAATGTTACAGTGAAATCTGGTCTTGAAATTCGCCGACGTGTAGTCGAAACAATATCAGCAATTCGAACAGGATCTGTCAACAAACTCGAACCATATCCCTCTCTCATAACATCTCTCTGTGGGCAACCACAGTTCAGATCAATACCACGACAATACCTGAGTAAATATAAACATTAACAACAATATCATTTTGTACAGTTTGATTTGACCAATTGACCACATCAAAAGCCTGCATGTTCTGACCGTTATTCAGATGTTCTACTATAAATGAAATATCGGTTAGCTACGAATATCGGTTAACAAGGCGCATTTACATAATGAGGATATGATACCTGCTTATGAACATCGCTGCTGTGGAAAACTCTTCTGGCTCGTTGCTAGCAAACTGCACAACAGTTGGATTGTCACCTACATAAAATAACCTATAAAGTAACTCACACTGAGTTAACCTTCAATTAGCAAAGTAAACTAAGAAATAATATATTAAGAAGATCCGAATAAAAATAATATAGTAGCATAAATTGAGCTATCTGAACCCCTTTTTATACTCAACTATATGTTCAAATATTTCAACAATAAATACTTTTCATTCATTATTAATTGAAATGTAATTTCGAAATTATTAAAATGAATCAAATAATGTATCAGAGTCATCATAAGAAACAAGTTACAATGAACCTGGACAAGTAGTGAATTCTGCAGATCGGCACTGTTCTGATGCAATAAAATGTTTCGCATAAATCATAGGTGTAAACGCAACATCCACTGAATATAAACGAACCAACATTCGAAATGGCAATCTACAAAAAAGTAACTTATTTCTTATCTGACAAAAAAATACTTTATGACTTCTAATTATTAATTCCATCCAGTTGTTCCATCTTTAATTTAGCTCTTCAGTTTGATTTGTTCTATCATACAACGAACATTCTTAGAGAAACTTCTATAAACTATATAGACATACACACGACACACATGCATATGCATTATGCACACAAATGCATAACAAACACACTATACACGAAATCTTTGCCTCATCTAAAATTTAGCAGTTTTTTGAAATGACAATAGTCTTGACATTCCTGTTATTCAGCTTAAGCAAATATATAGCTTTTATCCACTTTCTATATAAGGACTTGACACATTCCAATTTGCGATAAGTTCTGACACTTAACATACTTATCAGTGGAATTCTTATCAGCATTTATAAGTATCAGTAGATGTTCGCTGTCCACAGAATACGATAATGTTATTAGTATGAAAAACAATGACAATCAACGGACATGAGCGAAATTTTCAGCAGATTCACTGTTAGAGCACATAAAAAGCATATAACATACTGATTAGATTAATTATGTGTCTGTGAATTTATGTCAATTAGAAAATTAAAGAAACATTTTAAGAGATACAAAAAAGCTTACTTTGAATATCGCACCATCGGTGCAGATACAAATAAAGGTATATCACCATCCATATGTATGTCACTGGTGACATTCTTTCCTTTAACAGTTTCTCCAACCAGTAAATCATATAACTGACTTTTCATCACTGCAATCAAAGAACAGTCTGTAGTAAGTGAAACTTAATAAAGCAATCTGCTGATAACAATTATTAAAATAGAAGTCGAACAAGTACAGTATGTCATAGCTCAATCTAGATGAACGATGATCAGTTTGAAGCAAATATTTGAAACGGAAAGTTTCTTTCGTCAATTCGAGAGTAAAATCAAACAGAATGATGAATTCTCAAGAAATTAGCACTCATCCAATTCTAAGCAATAGTTTTGTAATCCCAATCAGTTCCAAATATTCTGCTTCTTAATTAATTTTCTAGCACACACAACAAACCATTCTCCCGGCATGTCGGTACCGAGTATTCTGCTTGTCAACAGAATTCTGAAATACAGAGAAACAAAGGTTTCATTGTGTCCCCTTTAAAGTGATCTTATCTGAGGGGCTGGTGACTTTGATGTTGCGATGAACCGCTTGTTTCAGTACAGAATTCAGGAAATTCCCGGGAGCTCTCGGAGATATTGTGGCATGTACATTTGTGAGAGCTCTGTGGTTGACTGGGTAATTAAGTGTAATATGTACAATTTTAATGAATTGATATACGTTTTTCTGCCGTTCTGTAATGCTTAACATATCGTTAATTTTTATGAAATGTATGACAGAATAAGATGGATGCTAATGAAGATAACGGTATCAACAAGACGCCATTAATGGAGCAAGCGGATGATTTGACGAAAAGAGAAATGATTGCGGTGAAGATTGAACCTGAAACGGTTGAGAAAGAAACTGTGGAAATGAAAGCAAATCTTGATATAGATCCTATGGATACTGTTGAGAATAAAGGCGATATTATCGAAACATCTACCTCAAGTATGTCTCTTTGTTTGTCACTTGAAATGTTCGAATAAATCGACTTTCTTACGAAACGTTACGGAAATACCAAAATATTAAATGTATAACTAAAAAATTCACAAAAATAACTAAATGTTTAATATTTCTTGGACGATTAATATTATTATGATTGCATGAAATAATGAGTAAATAGGATTATAAGTATTGTCAGAGCGAAATGAATGATTTAATAGAACCTTCGTTTTTATTTTCTGCGGAGATAAAGATGTAAATGCCCACAGGTCCCTTCAAATAATTGTACATAATATATCTGCATGTAACTTGGTTGAAATTTCATTCGTATTTGCATTATAATCTGATCAAGATTTCATTGAAAACTGATATAAAAAATTCGTAAAAAATTGACATGAAAAATATGGTTCTGAGTGTTTCTGACTTTGTTCTGTTTAGCTGGGGAATACCTGCTTGAATAAGATTGTATTTATTTTCATTTTAACATTCAGGTAATAGCTACAATGTTGGAACGCAATTCGAAAAAGATTCTTTTAAGCGTTTTGAAATGCTGCTAAAGAAGACAGAGAATTTTTCGCACTGTTTAAGTGCAGGAGATGTTGAAACTGTTGATGGTAAAAATTACTTATAATTCAATTTTGTTATATCATGAATTCCTTTTTGCTCTTGGCACATAAATGTGGTAAAGTAATTTGACACTTTACTTGAAGTCATTTCCAGTAGAGCTGCTGAAAAATGATTTTCTTTCACTCGTTCTTAATACTCGAAAAAAGTAGGAATTACTTTTTTATTAATATAAAATATGAGTGTTGAAGTGAGCTCACCAAACAGTATGGGAGCGAAAGGACGTCCTAGGAATCAGTCTGAAGGTGATCACCGCCATCGTAAAACGGAAAAGGAAGAGGACGAAGAATTGATAAACCAAGTGAAAAAGAGCGAAACACTGATTCGGTTAGTACGAATTTCCCACAAATTATTCTGACATGAAAATTGAGTCCATTAGTTTACTCATATATTTATTATATAGGAATATTTATACGTTACTTGCAGAATACTAACTGATGTTGCTTATAGATTTGAAAAAACACCATTTTATATTGAAAATGGTGAAATGCGTGACTATCAGATACGAGGACTTAATTGGCTTATTTCATTGCAGCACAACGGCATTAATGGGATCCTCGCTGATGAAATGGTATATTCTGAATTTGTTTTTAAACTAAAAATTATGGACTAATCTAAGTTTACATTATTTCATATATTTTGACTGGTATTTTCAATAATTGCCAGGACATGTAAAACATTTCGTCATTTTCTAGGGTTTGGGTAAAACATTACAAACGGTTGCGGTGATAGGCTTCATGAAGCATTACAAAAATGCATCTGGACCACATTTAGTCATCGCTCCTAAATCAACGCTACAAAATTGGATTAATGAATTTGGAAAATGGTGTCCTTCACTGAAAGCCATCGCTCTTATCGGTATTGCTGAAGCACGAGTAAGATTTATTTCACAATATTATATTTATCACCTATCTTTTTTTCTGTACTGTTATTTACCTAGCACTATTTTTCGTGCATTATTTGCACTCGACCTTAAATATTTTTCTTGTTGTGGTATTTTATTAATTTACTGTTTTCATCCGCTTTAGTTCTCTCATGCTATAGAACTTTATTTTTAGGCAGATTTAATACGTAATGAAATTTTACCTGGAAAATGGGATGTTTTGGTCACATCGTATGAGATGGTTTTAAAGGAAAAATCATTACTAAGGAAATATGTATGGCAGTATCTTGTTATTGACGAAGCACATCGTATAAAAAATGAACATTCGAAGGTACTATGTCAAGCCTATTAAGGATTTTGTTTTCTTATTGCATCCTTATATATTTCTGAATTTCGTAACAGTTGTTTACATCTTTCGTAACTTAGTTTAATCAATGTTATTATTTTCATAAGGTAATTGGATATTCCGGCAAATTCTGACGACATTTATTCAAAACTTGTTTTAGCTGTCAGAGATTGTTCGCGAATTTAAGTCAAAACACCGTTTGTTAATCACAGGAACACCATTGCAAAATAATTTGCATGAACTATGGGCATTACTTAATTTCTTATTACCGGACATGTTTGCACTTGCATCTGATTTCGATTCTTGGTTTACAAATGATATGATGGGCAATCAGGATCTCGTTGCACGTTTACACAAGGTAAATCTTTTCTTTTTTTCCTCTCTCTTTTTACTGTAATAATGACACATCTTGTTTTGCCCGTGCTTCAATTTTTACTCACTAGAATACGTATTTTTCACTCTCACTTTCTATTATTTTCATTTTTTGTTATGAATTTTAATCTTGTGGCTTTTCTATAGAGGAGCATCGCAAAATTCAAATACAGATGTAAAAAATTTAAATATAAAACATATTTCGATGATATATGTGTTTTATTCAGGTTTTGAAACCATTTTTATTACGTCGTTTAAAATCGGATGTCGAGAAGACTCTTCTTCCAAAGAAAGAAGTTAAGATTTATGTGGGTTTGTCAAAGATGCAGCGAGAATGGTAACCTTATTTGATATCCAACTAAAGTCTTTGTAATTCACTGAAGATGTGGAGCATTGATCATACAATTGTCTGTTTTCATTATATTTAACTGGTATAGCAATCACAGTTTTATTGAACGATGCCAAAATGATTAAGAATGTTAGTTTATACATTGTATTTCAATTTTACTACAAGAAATTTTTAACTTCCTGAAATTTTTATTTATAGGTATACCAGGATCTTAATGAAAGATATCGATGTCGTTAATGGTGCCGGCAAATTGGAGAAGGTTAGTTATTTTTCTGGGAAATACAAACCAATTCAAGTGCAGTAAAATTTTTATTTCGGGATGCTCGATTTGAACCTAGCCTCAGTCGATAGGGATTTGGGAGGTGCCATACTAGGTGTTAACATTTCTATGTAAGCATAATATTCATATTTACTTATTTATGAATTAGAAATCGTTTTGTGTTTTTTATTATTTTTGTTAGATAAAGAGAGGGGATGAACGTTTTAAACGAATTAGTGCGCTGTTTTCTGAAAAGAAGTCAGTTGTTTTTTTTAAGGCACGAATAATGAATATATTGATGCACTTACGGAAATGTTGTAATCACCCATATTTATTTGATGGTGCTGAACCGGGTCCACCATATACTACAGATCAGCATCTTGTTGATAACTCAGGGAAAATGGTTCTTTTGGATAAGTTACTGGTGAAACTGAAGGCACAAGGTTAAAAAAATATTTTCGTCGTTTTTTGATCTTCTAACTTAAAATGTATTGTGAATTAGTTACTTCTAATATATAAGAACTAACTAATTTTTTACTAATAGTTTTGTCCATGGGAAACGGAATTTTGAAGTTTTTTAGGCTCTCGTGTCTTGATATTTTCATCGATGTCTCGAATGCTGGATTTATTGGAAGATTACTGTTGGTGGCGCGGTTATCGCTACTGTCGCTTAGATGGACAGACTGTTCATGATGAGCGTCAGAAATCCATTGATGAATTTAATAAGCCAGATTCAGACAAATTCATTTTTATGCTTACAACACGCGCAGGTGGTCTTGGAATTAATCTTACTGCTGCGGATGTTGTTATCATTTACGATAGTGACTGGAATCCACAAGTAGATTTACAAGCGATGGTTAGTATTTTCCATAATTTAACTTCTGGAAATCTCATATGCAATACCTTAATGTTATGAACTGTTCTCGCTTTATATGGCGAAATCTCGGTTTTTGTGCTTTACTTATATTATCTTATAATCTTGTTTTGCAAGTTTAACGGTTAGTCTACAAACTAGTTAGAGGTATTTGCTTATTTAAGGAAATTTGAAAAACTTTGAATGCTATCGTTTTTATTAAACGCGTGATTTAGGATCGAGCACATCGTATTGGACAGAAGAAACAAGTTCGCGTTTTTCGCTTTATAACAGATAACACTGTAGATGAAAGAATCATTGAGCGAGCGGAAATGAAACTTCATCTTGATTCAATCGTTATACAACAAGTACTGAACACTTTAATTTAAAACTGTATGACAGTACCGAATTGAGGCTTCTAGATTCGTGTTTTGAAATTATATATTTTGGACATTTAATTGATTGTCATCATTCTTTATCTTTTTTCCTATTATTATCTGCGTCGTCTCGCTAATACTCAAATATATTTTGTTCAAAATTTCAATTCTTAGATTTATGCTAACCTCTTAAGTCAACAATTATTATTAGTTGATTGGATATCTTGTTCTACTTGTTTTTTTTCGATTTTTAGGGACGGTTGACCGATTCCCAGAAAGCTTTGGGCAAAGAAGACATGCTGGATATGATCAGACATGGAGCTGATCAAGTGTTTGCTTCCAAAGACAGTACAATTACCGACGAAAATATAGATACTATTTTGGAAAAAGCAGAGCAGAAAACGGAGGTACAATCACCTACAGTCTGCAATGATTTTTGATATTTTTTCACATCTGATTGCTTCAAAAAGCATATTTGTTAAAAGTCGTACTCATATAGGCGCTGAATAAGAAAATTGCTTCAATGGGAGAGACATCGCTTCGAAATTTCGCTTTGGATGCACCAACTTTCGATGCTGATAGCAACTACACAGTTTACAAGTTTGAAGGAGAAGACTATCGTGAGAAACAGAAAAATGTTGGAGGGATTGGCTATTGGATTGAACCACCGAAGCGAGAACGGAAAGCAAATTATCAAGTCGACGCCTATTTTAGGTTATCTTTCACAAAAATTTTTTTTTGATATTTTAGTACTGATGGAATTCAATATTGATTGATTTATTACTGTTCATCTGTCTTTAATTTTCAGAGCTGTGACTTAGATGCAATAGGATTGTATTCGTTGATTTTCATTTCGACTGAATAGTTTATTATTTAGCACGAGGATATTTTCGTACCGTTTTCCTTGGTTCAAATCCTACAGTTTTGCTGATGTATCATTTGTAGAGAGGCGATGCGAGGAGGACATGCAGAACCAAAAGCACCGAAAGCACCAAGGCCACCAAAACAACCTAATGTTCAGGATTTTCAGTTCTATCCAAAGCGATTATTTGAGTTGCTTGAAAAGGAAGTTTATTTGCATCGGAAAACAATCGGATATAGAGTATGTCTTAATTTTTTTTATTACAAATTTTCTCGATATGCATGGGAATTGTTACTCTTTAGTATCTCTATATAGGCTTTAAGGTTACGTAAATTCAGAGCAATGGTCGATGGGATAAGTAGAACTGCCTGATCTTAGATGATCGGATAATACAGGAGTATATTTATTGCTCCAATTAATTAATAAACTGAAAACGCCTACTGAAGTACTGGAATGAAAAGGAAAGGAGTCAGTAACCTGATCATGACTTCTTATCCGGAGCATAACTTAAACTTTATGGCAAACGAATGGCACTTAATAGTTCCTACACTTAATAAAAAATGATTTATATTAAAACTTAATACATACTTTTTAGTTTATATTAAAACTTAATACATTTTTTTTTGACATTTTTTTAATCTTTTTGTCATTGGTAGCAGTATCATTTCATGAATTTGCGTTTAAATCACACTGAGGTCTCATAAAGTTTTTGAAATTGAATCGTTGATACAATATTGTGCGTGCGCTTATTTTTTGATTTTCAGGCACAAAGACCACCAGATCTTGCAACTAAAGAGGCGGAAAGGAAACAAAAAGAGGAGCAGAAAAAAATTGACAGCGCCGTACCACTGACTGAAGAAGAGCAAAACGAAAAGATCCAACTGCTAACACAAGTAGTTTTGAAGTATTAAGTTATGCAAGTTGTTGAAGATAATCTTTCGTTACTATTGATACTTCTAGGGGCAAAGTAATTGGAGTCGTCGAGAATTTCAACAATTTATCAAAGCGAACGAAAAATATGGAAGACATGATTTGGAAAATATTGCGAAGGAAATTGACACGAAATCTGCAACTGAGGTTTTTCTTCTTTTTCTGTTAGTTAAATTTACAGTGAAGCTTATTTTGTTTTAGTATTGCTTTGAAAAGATTGAAATTGAAAAATTTTATTTATCGCTTCTCAAAAAAAATTTTTTTATATATTCATCTTTAAGGTTGAAGAATATGCAAAATTGTTCTGGGAACGCCTCGACGAACTATCTGATCACGAAAGAATCTTAGCAACAATTGAAAAGGTTTATAAGTTGCTCTTAGTGCAATAATTTTAGAATAATTTGCAAATTTCTATTGAAAATTTAAATTTCTGCCAAATATTCGTACACGTATATAGTTTTAAAATCTGATATCTGAAATCGGCAACCGAAAGGTCTTTTGATCTTAGGGCGAAGCCCGAATACAACGGCGGCAGAGTATCAAGAAGGCACTAGATGAAAAAATAGCTAAGTACAAAGCTCCATTTCATCAACTTCGAATTCAGTATGGGACGAATAAAGGCAAAAATTACACGGAAGAGGAAGATCGGTATGAATTTTATTTTATTTTTGCTGGATAAGAATTTGATTTAAAATATTTTTTTTCTTGGTAAACTGATATAGTTTCTTACGTAAAATCTGAAGTTTCTTCCTTAAGATTTATGGTCTGTCAATTGCATAAGCTTGGTTTTGACAAGGATAATGTTTATGAGGAGCTGCGACAAGCAGTTCGTTCTGCACCTCAATTTCGGTTCGATTGGTTTATCAAATCGCGTACATCAACGGTTTGAGATTTCCATGCGTTTTTCATCTTTCAATGGCTTCTTCTTCATAAATCAATGCTAGTTTTTATGCCGATTTCGTTTATCTTTGAATTTTGTACTTTTTGTCTTAGGAACTTCAACGTCGCTGTAATACACTGATCTCACTAATTGAAAAAGAAATGGGTGAGGTAGAAGTTAAACGAAAGCACGGTCAGAAATCATCGGCAAATACTCCGACAACTAATACCAGTGAGCCGAAAGTTACACCAGCCGCTAAGGTAATTTCTCGGATACTTATTAACAAAAGTAAGATAATTATGTATCTCCTAGTTCTATCTTTCTAATCTAATGTTTAATTCTTCTTCAAGTCTGGTCAGAAACGCAAAAACGAGCAATCAACATCTAAAGGATCCAGTTCTAAACGTCAGAAGTAATATTGGTTGCATGAACCATGTGAAGTTTGCATCAGAAAAATTCGTCATTATTACTACTTGTATCTCACAGTACACGTAGCAACTTTTTAAGTTGTTCATTTTGAAATGAAACTTTTTGAAATAAGACCTCTTGCTCCGGCTGGATCTAATGAATACATTCCCTATTTTGAGAAATCTGAGTGATTACATTATTTTTATTGCTTTTTTATCTTTGTTTGATGCTTACCTATTTGCAATATCTGTACATCAATCTCTATTGTATGATAAAATTTGAATATATTTCTTTGACACATGCATATTTGGCATTCTTGGAAGTCATAAAAAACGTTAAGCTACGTGGTCAAGTCTTACAAGCAGTGTGGGCATCAAATGTGATTGTATAAACTGCATTAACTAGAATAACACTTGAAAATTACAATGAATATATGCAACCTTTATGTTAATGTGATTTAATTAGGGCATTTTCTTTGTAAATTGGTTTGTGGTAATTAGTTACTGTGCTTACAGTTTGGATGACAGCACACTTTTGATATTGGATTCTTTTGTACTATTTGGATGGAATAACTTCTAAATTACGTAAGTACAAGTACTCTACAAGAATGATCACTATTTAGCCAGATATTTTGATAGTTCTCTTATTAATCATCATAGGAACAACATACATCGACCACATCATGGCTATCAGTGATACCAAACCATAATCGACGCTTGTTGCGAATGACATAATTAATCTGGAAAAAATTAATTTCAGTGCATAACAATTTCCCAACTTACTGATTAGATAAAAAAAGAAATTGTTTTCAAGAACAGAAGTATGATCCTCCTGAACTCAAGAAAATAAAAAGATCGAAAGAGATAGCATGACTCATGAAATTTGTGGCCCTTAAGAGGGCCGTTGGGTTATGACCAACGTCACGGACGTAACATGTCTATGACGCTGTTTTCTTCGGCTTCGAAACCTTCGATTTCTTCGGCTTATTACTTGTCTTTGGCTTCCGTTTTGGCGATTTCGCAGTTGCAACTTTTTTCACACGTGGCTTCTTTGGAGCAGCAGAAGTAACCTTACTTTTCTTTTCTTTCTTCGATGTTATCTCCTTCTGCTTATGTGGTCCTCTCTTAGTCTTAGTTTCAGTTGTAGTACCAAGTCTGAATGAACCATTCACACCAGCACCTTTTGCAAGCGTCAACTTTCCAGATGCAATACCTTTCTTGATTGCTAATCGAAGTTGAGAATGTACACGTTTGCCATTATCACCCAACTGATAATGACCAGAGATATACTTGAAGATTGCCACTCGACTTGAACCTTTACGATCTTTCAGGGCAACAATTGCTTCCTTTATCATTTGAGAGTAGCTAGGATGGTTCTTCATTACTTTTGCGCCTTGTCGCTTCGAACGTGCCTTAGATGTGCCTTGAACTGCCGATCGTTTCTTCGGGGATTTGCCAGTTGGACCGCTTATTCGCGGAGGCGAAGGTAACTCTACAGCCGCTGCTTCCATATCGTCGATGGTTAAACCACACCCTATGTAGCAAACAATAACACAACTAACGATCGATCCCACTTATATATCACTCCACCTTCCCGCCAAAATTTCAGAAATTGGCGGGAAGCTGCAAATTAAATCTCGTGGTCTCAACTGGAATATTTCTGTAGAATTGATTTACAGAGGGAGGAAAAGTATATCTCATGTATGTAAGGATGAATGTTACTCGCATAATACTCGTGTACTGCACGTGCACGTATTACTTTTATTTTACACGTGTTGCTCTCGTATTATACGTATTACTCGTATACATAACATGTATTTTGGATGGTGTAAAGCTTTTCTTCTCTTCATTGCATTAAAATCTAGGATAATAGTAAGCATACATTATAATTGCTAAGCTTATAATCTTTTTCTAACATTTGATTAATTTTGCTTTTATAATTAAAAAATATACATAAAACTAAAATGAAATGATAAAATAATCCATTAACTAAAAAAATTTGCATCGATCATTTTAAATTATATAACATTAGTAGAATGAAATTTTGCTCCTTTTTTAGTAATTTTTCAAAAAATTAATCAATTCTTTTAGCGCTTTTTAAAAAGTAAAAAGGAAATTTTCTTATCAAATTGCAATTATTTCAGTCATTTTTTAAAATATTTTTTTTTACATTTAATTTATCATTGAAAGAAGAAAAAATTCCTCAAATTTTTCGTAGCACATATTTCTCCAATGTTTAATTTGAATTAATTTAAAAATAAAAAACGAAATAATAAGAATTATTATTAATTAAATTAGACGATCCCTCAATTACAGTTTATAATCGTAACAGATAGTCCCTTAATTCTAAGAATTTTCCAGAAAGGCTAAAAAAAAAATAATGGCGCGAAGGGGCGTGTCTTATATGTCTGATAGAGAATTTTTGGCGGCAAAATGGAAAGCTATAAAATGCGATGTCTGCTAGATGTACCTATCATTGTAATACTTTGACTTGCAGTGAGCGCTTGGTGTCCAACTCGATGGCTCGTACAAAGCAAACGGCTCGCAAATCGACAGGTGGTAAAGCACCACGGAAACAATTAGCAACAAAAGCGGCAAGAAAATCAGCTCCGGCAACCGGTGGTGTGAAAAAGCCGCATCGTTATCGTCCTGGTACTGTTGCACTGCGTGAGATTCGACGTTATCAGAAGTCTACCGAACTACTTATCCGCAAACTGCCGTTCCAGCGATTGGTGCGTGAGATTGCGCAAGATTTCAAGACAGATCTTCGTTTCCAGTCTTCAGCTGTACTTGCATTGCAAGAAGCTAGCGAAGCCTACTTAGTAGGCCTTTTCGAAGATACGAATCTGTGTGCCATTCACGCGAAACGCGTCACAATTATGCCGAAGGACATCCAACTAGCTAGGCGCATCCGTGGCGAACGAGCTTAAACGTATTCGTTTTGCCTTGTGGAACAGTTTAGAAAAACCGTCTCACAAACCCAACGGCCCTCTTTAGGGCCACAATTCGATGAGTCATGCTACCTGAAGAGTCTGAGTTAATAAATATTGCTTGAAGTATTTTATGTGTTTTACATATTTTCTATTTCATGCGGTGCGTAATTGGCAGGAATTGTGGATTGGTATCGATTAGGCGATATGCTGCTAATGTCGGTGTGGTGATGGATATGTGCAGTTGGACTGAGTCGGTGTGTACTTGGAGTGATATGTTTGTGATCTGCTGTTACTTGTTAAAATTTAGAGATAAGTTATGTCAGCCATGAGCTATGTATCTGTGACGGTCCCAAGATAACTTGGAGCCCTCGACCATTTTTTCCTGAATTTGCTTTTTGATTCTCAACTCATGCTGTGACAAAATTTTCGATGAATTGTTCAATAATTGTCAAATAAAGACTACAGTTAAGAATAATGGTTGTGTGCGCAAGAGTAATTGTTTTCGGGGAATTGTTAAGGGTTAGGAATAAGGATTTCCTGGTCACCAGTGATTAATTCAAATCTCATACTGAAATTACTCTCATACTACGTACCGTTGAATATGTTTAGTTTACTGTAAATCCCGGGAATATTGCTTGTCCACGCATTGAATGGTGTTGTGTGCATATCTAGTGTGATTTGTACCAATCAATTGTCATCAATAAACTTTATTGGCAAATATCTCTGTTCAACACCACAAAGCAAATGAAAACAATACATCTCAGATTCATAACTGGAAATTTAGAAACACTATCAGAAAAAATATAAAGACTTCCTAGGGGGAAAAATAAATGTTCTTTTTCCGAGCCGAGCTTCTTAAGTCGTCTATCGTTCTCATACGGAAGCCGCCATGCCGTACTAAACATTCTTGAAGAGAATCTCTCGCCGAACCATTGAGGCGAAAAATACAACACTACACAAATCATTATGGAAGATACCCCAGAACACCTAAAGGTTACATCTGAAGCAATCAAAACACAACAGTCGCACTTCAGGCTTCCATCAACGTAACTCGTATTAATGGGTATTAAGGGTCACGCACGAGGTGATTACGAGGAAATTGCAGTTTAAAGAAATGGGTTCACTCATCGAATCAATGGACATTCATTCGTAAAATGCTACGCATTATTATCACCAATCCAAGTGTTTGTTTTGACGAATTTCCTACGCTATTCAATAACTTTTAAAAACAACTTTTAAGTGCTTCATTATTTCGCTAAATCCTCTCATTAAATAGTTGCTTCTCATAACAACACCCAGACTTGATTGTAGAAGCGGACGTGACCCAGTACCAAAGTAACATAACCAGTGAAACCAAGTCACTCGCCAGACTACTCAACATCACAAACTAGACCTACATGGGTACAGCATGATCCATAGATTTGTGGCCCTAAAGAGGGCCGTTGGGTTTTGTAGCGCAAATGAGCCTTACGCCTTCTCTGCAGTCTTCTTCGGGAGAAGCACAGCCTGGATGTTGGGTAGCACGCCACCCTGAGAAATGGTCACGCCGGCCAACAATTTGTTCAATTCTTCGTCGTTACGAACTGCCAACTGTAAGTGTCGCGGGTTAATCCGGGTCTTCTTATTGTCGCGCGCAGCATTGCCTGCCAATTCCAACACTTCCGCAGCGAGATATTCGAGCACCGCAGCCAAGTATACCGGAGCACCAGCACCAACACGCTCCGCATAATTGCCCTTCCTCAATTTTCGGTGAATACGACCAACGGGAAACTGAAGACCAGCACGTGACGATCTCGACTTAACCTTGCCAGACGACTTTGCTTTGCCACCTTTACCTCTACCAGACATCGTACCTCAGATTGTCGTAGTTTGCCTCTAGCGCCACGATAAAAATTTAGAATAGTAAGCCCTTATCATCCGACCTTATTTATACCCTTCAGCGAGCGAAACTAACAATTAAGCCACGCCCAATTATCTGCTCATTTGGCGGGAAGAGTGGGCGTGGCCTAATATGTTGGCGCTCGGATTGATGGATATAAATAGCGAATGAGACGAGGAGCATATCACATTAGTCAGTCCAGTGGTGTTGGAGTGTTCGGTTGTTGTCGTCTTAGTTAGTAGCGAGGACCTATTGTTAGTCAGTAATGCCACCGAAGCCGTCAGCTAAAGGAGCAAAGAAAGCAGCGAAGTCTCATAAGCCGCGTAGTGGCGATAAGAAACGACGGAGTCGACGAAAGGAGTCTTACTCAGCATACATCTATCGGGTCCTGAAGCAGGTACATCCTGATACGGGCATCTCATCGAAGGCTATGTCGATTATGAACTCATTCGTAAACGACGTCTTCGAACGTATTGCTGCGGAAGCTAGTCGCTTGGCTCATTATAATAAGCGTTCAACGATCTCATCCCGTGAAATTCAGACAGCTGTTCGACTTATTCTCCCAGGTGAATTGGCTAAGCATGCTGTTTCGGAAGGTACAAAGGCAGTTACGAAGTACACTAGCTCGAAGTGAGTGGCGTACGTGTACTGTCTTGGCTCAACCACTAGAACCCAACGGCCCTCTTTAGGGCCACAATTTAATGAGTCGTGCTAACCCTTGGAGATTTCTCATGTTGTGCAATGCTTTCCGTATTTGTTGTTTGTGGTGAATGTATGAATTGTAAATAAAATTCAACTTTTTGTTTTGTTATTCGTTTGATCAAATGAATAAAAGAAAATAAGGTTTGGGATTGAGTTCGATTAGGCTGTTGGCGAGTATAGTTGTCCTGACACGAATACTGGGACATATGGGGGGGAGAGCTGGGGGACCCGTCTGAACTGGAATGTGTCCTGGTATGTACGAAAAATAGCTACGATCTCCTTGCGGCGATACGTTGTGTGAGATGGAATCAGAAGTGCGGCATTGCATGTGTTGGCTTTTTACACTTCCTCTTCCTTCAACCGAATAATTGAGCATGTATTTCCACACTCGGAAATAATTGGCAAACAGATGTTTACATCGTGGCCGCAATGCCAGTCTTTGGTCGATGGCAGGTGTTTACTTCAAAATGTCTGCTGCGGGGTCATGTGATAGGTCGAAGTTATGTAACTAGGTCATTATTGCCAAGAGACAACAAATCTTAACAGCCAAAGTAAATGGATGGGAATTATACATACACTACAAACACAGTGTGTAACAGATTTTTAAAATTTGAGGGAATAAAAATGTGAACATTTAAATTAGTCGCTGCTGATGAAAATAATTTCATTGCAAACTCTATACATTTCATTGATTTCATCAATGAATTTAGTTTGTTTCGTCGTCTAATTGAAGAAGATTAACAGCTAAAATTAATGGGATGATATTAGAAATTATAAGCAAACAAGAAAGAAGAAATTAGGAATATTTAGAACTAAGAAAGAAAAACCAAATAATCTACAAAAGATTTTAAAGAGTTGTTAGTAAGCTAAATTCATCATTGATTCAATTTGCTTAATTTCTTAATTTTGAGAACTTACTGCATTGTAATGTTAAAGAAAAAAAAAAAAATTGATAAATCCACTGTAAACTATTCGTCCATTTTACAACTAATAGATGAAATTTAAATGTAACAGTCATAGAAGAATACAATTATTTGGTATACTATGATAAATTATACTTTGATAACTGATAGAAATGATATGATAAGTTAAACGAAAATATCACATTCATCTAATTAAATGATAATTTATTTCTTCAATGACAAATGATATGATATGATATAATATTCTGTATTCTCATATTTTCATAAATATCACTGATAATTACTACCACTGCTAAATTAAATTAAAAAATTACATGGCTCTTAAAGAAATCTTAAAATTTATCACTTAATTTGATTATTAACAATTTTAATTAAATTTACTTCCATATGTAAACAAATCAATGAACTAACGAAATCAATCAATAAAATAAATGACAAATTGATTTGGTATTTAAATTTTCATTTCAGTCATTCAGTTTTTTTCATGGAAATTACTCACTTTTAACCTATAGCAGACAAAAAAAGAATCAAGTAATGCCATTTTTTTTTTTTTTAATTCATTAAGTTTGTTATTTCATATTAATAAAGTTTAATGATTAACTCGAGAGTTAACTCGAGAGTTTCTTTCATATGTTCGTGAAATGATCTCAAAATTTTTTCCTCGTTTTGTTATATATTTACTTTACAATATTGCATGCTATGCTATGCATATATGTCTGTATTTAAATCCCAGGATATCTGGTATATCTCGGTAATATTTCCCAGCAGAAATGTTAACTTTTCCCGCCAAAAATGACAGGGGCGTGGCTCTTAGGTTCAAGTCCTAGTGTGGGTGTGGCTTTATCGGTGTCCCGGTGAGGTCGCGGGAGCAATAGCTATAAATAGGCGATTGAGCTGGGTCTATTCACTTTGGTAGTCAGTTCAGTTGTGTGCGACAGTTACCAGTGTTTTCGTTGTGATCGCTGTTACTTGTGAAGATGTCAGGACGTGGTAAAGGCGGTAAAGGACTTGGAAAAGGTGGAGCGAAGCGTCATCGTAAAGTGCTGCGTGACAATATTCAAGGAATAACAAAGCCAGCTATTCGACGTTTGGCACGACGTGGTGGTGTGAAACGTATTTCGGGATTGATTTATGAAGAGACACGTGGCGTATTGAAAGTGTTTTTGGAGAATGTCATACGTGACGCTGTAACATATTGTGAGCACGCGAAACGAAAGACAGTTACAGCAATGGATGTTGTCTATGCGTTGAAACGCCAAGGACGTACATTGTATGGTTTTGGTGGTTAAGACGACCTTACGAGACCCATCAGCGTGTAATTATCTGTATGCGCACAAAACCCAACGGCCCTCTTTAGGGCCACAAATCTATGAGTCATGCTTACTCAGAACTGATCTTTGCGTGTTAGATTGTATATTTAATGTTAAGTGATACTCATTTGGCAACGATTTATTCCTCATATTTTGTTTTGTATTTACTGGTCTATGTTAGATAATAAAAGATGATTTTTTATATTGTGGAAACATGAAATCTATGAAGATTTAGTACCTATAATAGCTGCTCAGAAAGGGTACAGATGTCCAGGGGATGTCATGTGGGGTGTTGGATTGTTTGTGTTAGAGATTGAAATGCTTTTCTTTGAGCAACCTGGGTGCATGTTTGGAGATCGTGCCAAGGTCAGCAAGAGGACTGATGTGTATGAAGGAGGTGACAGAGAGTCATAGTCCAATATCATGCTTGTGTTATGTTGGTTCTCTGCACGTATATTCGATTTCTGCAGTGGCGACTAAATTCGCGCTGAAGTTCCACTCTTCACTTTTATTCTCACTCGATCTCGAGGGATGCCCATCCTTCCGTCTGGTTTTGCAAATTTAAGATAATTTAAAATTAACTTAGCAGTTTAATAATTACGCAGTACTTATACAAATGAAATAGTATCAAATACAAATACATATGCAGATTTATACGAACATTATCACCGTTTCACAAACTTTTGTTCGGTAAAACCACTTGTACGTTGTAGTTCTCTTCGATGACTTCTCAACTGTTGCTCTACGGTCATCGTTGATGCAGCACTATTCAACATTGGTCTAAAATGTTATCAGTGTCAAATTATCGATAATACAACTGCAGTCACAAGCACACATTATTATTACATACTATTACTACCAATGGGATTAACGTAAGAATTCGAGAAGTATTCGGCAAAAATTTCTCCACCACTTTAATCATAATTAAATGAAACACATATAACCTAATGAAGTTAGCTGTCTTTCCTTCATTTCTTCGATTCTCTTCTTCGTCTCGTAATGCATTTCTTTTGATATTTCTCGTACGAACTTCATCTCTCCAATTCGCATTTTGTAGCATTTCTTTTCGTTTCATTTCCATTTCTTCCTCCGTTAGTTGACGCCTTTCTGATTTCTGGAAAAAAAAATCAAAGTCAAATTGGAAAGTTAGGAATATGAATAAAAGATAAAAGGAAGTATTTTTATGATAAACCTTATAAATCTCAATTTGCTTTTTTGGAAGAGCTTTATAGGGATTGTCCATTTCTTCTTGCTTCCGTACTTCGTATTTTCCTATTTTCACCAAACCATATTTCTTCTTTTGTGATTTCCTATCAGCTTCATTACCTTCGTCCTCTCTGTTATCGCTTTCAGATGATGAGCTCTTAAATATTAAATATGGGAAGGAATAAATAATGATACTGGAAAAGAGAGGAAAAAATGATTTAAAAAAATACCTACATATTTAGGTCGTAGGTGTGCTGGAATATGACTATCCTTCTGCAAATGTTTCCTTTCTCGCTTTTTCTGAAAATCATCAGTGCCTTCTGCTAAACATCCAACAAGTGTTATATATTTGTAGTTTAGTCGTCAGTGTTTAAAAATGTGAAGAATGATGAAAATAATTTAAAACTTAGAAAACTTGAGACTCGGCTTTTTGCTTAATATTCGATTTCATAGTCAAAAAAAAAATATTTTGATAACAAGCAGCACATTAAATATTACGGATTAAAGAATATTTTGAAGAGGATTTCATGCCAAAAGAATTTCCAGAAAAAAAAAATGAACTGATTTCGTAGAATAAGAAAATCTTCCTACTTTTGTCGGTTCCGGGGATAATGAAGATACTGCTGTGTATTTTTCACTACCAATATGACGATGTCCATTTTTCTACAGATAATGTAATTTTTTTTTTTTTTATTTTGGTTAGAATTACAATAAACTTTGGAAAAACCGTGTAGAAAAAATTGACAACTTATAAAAATACAAAAAGCTTTACCTCAATGTGATCAACTTTATCACCACACTCCGTGCTATGCTTCAATTTTCTCTCCTTCTTTTCTAATTTTTTCAGCTTTTTCAAACGTTTCTTTTCTCTCTTTTCCATCACCTTTTTCATCAATTTCTGCATTTTTAGCTGAATTAAAGGGTTTTCCATCTTTTCCTGCCAAATCCTTTCCTCTCTCATCTGAAAAATAAATTATCATTTGTGGCAATTTACGACAATAATTCTTTTCACGTTGTGCAAATTCAAATTGAAATTTTATATAGAATCTGAGCTGAATTTCCAGACTGGATATCCTTGATGAAAAAGCATCATAATACAAAGAGCCATTTAAGATATAACCTTAATGGCCACCAATGGATCCTCGGTTCTCACAATGTCAACTTCCAAATTGGATATCCTCGATGTGGAAGCACCAGTTATACATCGCTGCGGCTTTTCTATTGCTTCAATTCCGCTTTCTTTCTCCTTGATGACAGCATCAGAATAGAGTTCGAAATTCTTGTCCACCTAAAGAAAGTTCAATTTTTTTTTTTTAGCAAATTTGTCTGACAATCATAAGAGTTGCAATAAACAAACTATCATAAGCAATTAAAACATCTTTTTAATACCTACCCTTTTGCCGAGCAAATAATCTTCCCGATTAACCAATGATTTCGTGCCTTCATAAATCCATGCAAGTTGTCCATCATCCTTCCCTTTTTCTGCCATCATTCAATCAAACAATCTCTTAAAATGTGAAAACAAAAAATTATTATCTCAACCAAATAAAAGCATTAAAATCCAATATTTCATAAATAATGACAATTACACTTTACACAAAAATCATATGCGATATCGATTAACTCGCAAATCATCGAATAGTTATTCTAATAAATCAATATTTTTCTTTGATCAACAAATTATCAATTATCACCAATTCAGCATGTTTGTATTATTTTCATAACTAATTCATCACTACCAGTCAATAATCAGAAAAAGCACAAGAAATTTGCGAAAAGTAAAATCATAAGAATCACTAATCTTCTCGTTCGGTCTTTTTTTCTCAGCTCAAGTAATAACTATAAATAACAGCAGTTCGCTATGAAAACTTCATCGTCTCTCACAACAGAAATAATCAAATAAACTAATTGTGGTAATATTAATTTTCAATATTTAACAGTAATAATAATAAACAAATAAATAAATAATATAAATAACAGACACTAAGTAATAATTAAACTTTAATAATGCAATTAATTTGATAAATGTGTTAGTAAATAAATATATTTTTTAAAATTGTTCGCATTACATTTAAATGCAAATAATAATGCTTTATTGATTATGGTAAAATGAAAGATTAATTGAAATGGGTGCAAAATGCAAATATAATAATTTAATAATATTAGAGATAAAATGAAAATGGTTACGACCAGTACTTTTAAAGATTAGCTACTTATCTCTTTATATATGAAATTTGCTTACTCTTCTGATTATTCAAGCTAAATATGTTCATTCCTTGTATTAAATTAATATTACAACCAAATTGTATCAAAATAATTTAAAAAATATTTCATTAAATCATATTACAGTCAAATTTTCAAAAAATATTTTACTAATTTATATTATAATCAAATTTTATTAATAATTCGAAGGATAACTATTAATGATAAGAATTTTATTAACTGAAAATTGCAGCGAGGAATGAAATTATACGTGGTGAAATGTGATAAATAGTTATTAATCTTATCATTGACTTATAATTATTGGCATTAACTCAATCAATCAATCAATCAATCAATCAAAATTGCTTACTTGACTTTGCTAATAAGTAATAATCAGTAAATTTTTTTATTATTTAATTGAAGAATTAATAGTTGTAAATATGAATGCTATTATTTTGGCTATTAAAGTTATTATTAAATGAAAAAGAAAATAACAAATTAAGTTAATCACTGAAAGATCACAGTGCTTTTTTGAAATATATTATTTTGTAATTTTTCATTCTAACAAGTGATTGATTAATTTTTATATTTGATATTAGCATAAATGATGCTATCACAACAAATTAAGTTTTACAATTTAGTAAAAATATGGTATTTGTGTAGTGGAAAAAGAAAACTGGATAAAATTGACTAGTTTTGTGGAAAAAATACCAAAATATAGGGTAATTATGAATAATAATATTAATATTAATAATGATAATGATAATGATAGTAATAGTAATAATAATAATAATAATATTAATAATAATATCAATGCTAATTTATATGTTCTATCACTAAAAGTGCTGAATGAAATATCATTATGATATATTTCAGTGGAAAAAATAAGCGAAAAACTCTTTTTGCAACTAACATAAGACAAATAGTTATTACATTTATATTTTTGATTACTTTGAAATGAAATTGAATAATTGTTGATAAAATGTATTTCTGAGGAAGAAATGAATAAGTACTGATATTCTATTATTTTTTCCATTTTTTAAAATTAACATTTTAAAAATTTGTATATATTTTTGTTAGTTTTTGTTTTACATTAAATTACTGACAATATTTCATAGTTATAGTTAGATAAGTGATAAGTATCACTGATAAGACAATGTGCTATTAAAAATTGCATTTGGATTGATATAGTTGTATTATTGGAAATAATGTTTTTGTAAAAGACTGGTGAATTGTACCTGAATGATTATTAAAATTTAACTCATGAAACTATTTTAACAAATATATTAAAACCTAATATTACTGTATAAATTTGTTCAATTTTTTTTCTTTGTAATAATTAACATCATAAAATATTGTAATATATTAATTTCTCATTTTTCATTTCATTTATTAAATTGATAATCGGACATACGTTTATACAACATACATTTATTTCAAATCATTTTTACAAATGTATTATGCATTTTAAAATTGATTTTATATCTTTAATTTTTATATTATGCACTCCATTAATGATAATCATCAATAATTTATCACTTTTCATTAGATAAGCTTTTAAATAAATGAATTGTAAATTAAAATGTAATGATAAAGTTTGTTAGCTTTTTATAGAACTTTTAAAGATAATGGAACTGAATTAATATTTATACATTAAAATGCTGAAATTATCCAATACTTTAAGAATGAATTTATGAAATTCTATAACAGAAAAATGAGTAATTTTCATATGTTAATATTTATAAATTATTGATTAGTTCTGTTATAAAAAAAAAAAAAGAAAAAGAAATATTGAAATAATTTGTTAAAATACATTTATTTTAGAATGTTTGTAATATTAAACGTGCCAAATAAACGTACTACAAGAAAAAAAAAAAAAAAAAAAACACAAATTTTTATTTGAAATAAACAAAAATCCAAGATTATTTATACCATTCAATTTTTTCAATGCAAAAAATTTTAGTTTGCCACTTTTTTTTCTTTTTTTTTGTAAAATTTCATGCAATCATAGAAATAGAATAAATGTGTCAAATAAATAATATTAATCATTGAAGTTTTCAAAATTTTATAATTCATAAATGCTACGATATTAATAGTTCAATAAAAATTCAATTATCCATTTGATCGGAATAAAATTAGCTACTTTTTTTTTTTTTTTAATTTATTTCACTTTACATTCATTTTTATCGATACAAATATCATAAATTGGTTAATCAAGCATAAGTTTAATTATGTTTTATAAAAAAAAAAATACATTTAATTTGTTTGTTCTTTCACTTATTTTCTTTCATTTTACTTTTAGTTATTCATTTGTATAACACATTTATTGATTTTTTTGATAAAAATTTAGCTTTGAAAAGAAGCATAATTGAATAAATGTATCGTAGAAACAAACAATTTAAGAATTTTTTTTTTTTTTTTTAAATTTTTCGTTGTTAAATGGAAATAAAAAACATAAAAATGATTGGTTACTGCTTATATCAACCAATTGCTAACATTAAAATTTATGAAATGATAAAAAATATGAACTATTCATTAAAATCATTCAAGTTTCTATCGATAATAGCTATTGTTAGTAACTCCCTCATTAAATTCAATTCCATTTAGCAATACTATTTCTCTAGCAATCATTATTCAATTATCTAATTTTCTTCCTAATCTGACACCGATCATTGACTTTATGTCATTTCTAAGCACCTTTATTCTTTTCGAGATATGATAAATGTAACTCTCCCATTTAACCGTTTTTATTTTTAGATGTTTGTTATTACTAATTCTTAATTTTGACAATACTTGTATATTATAAAATACCTCAGCACAAGATACTCAATCATCAGATGATTACAGCTACAGTAATAAAGCATAAAAATGATCAAACATATGTGACGTGAATACACGCATCCTTACGTGTAAGTTTGTGAATTCTCCAGTAATGTTGTTGTCCTCTTACATTTCGGTTCACGGATAAAAGGCGTTATAAACACCGATTAGGTGTGACTATTGAAATTGACGTAACATTCTGTCAAACGACCCTACATTGTTTCTGTCTTGCTAATACGTGAATTTGAATAATATAATATGATAATAATATGACAAATATGAAAAATAATGTAATATTCAAAGACATTCAATCCATCAAACTGTCAATATCACTGCAACATAAAAAAGATGCTTAAAATATATTTTCATATCCATTCAAACATAATTTCACGTTGCATTCTGCTGAATTAAAATTTAATTACTACCACTGCACTGCTATGGGATAATATAAGTAATATGAACTAACATTAAAACAACAGAAAATGAAATAAAATGATTATTCATTATTTTATAAAATAATAATTTTCCATTTTCATCCATTCATGGTTATCGTTATAGTACACAAATGATCAGTCACGTTTTCCCACGCAACTCATGCGTGAAACGCTGGAAACGTAAGACGTGTAGCACGCTGTACCCACTTCCACACACGCACACACACAAATTTTTTCGATTATGGCGAAGTGTTCCAGAACCAAGAATTTTAGGTTGAGACAGAGACGCATAAGAGATTTATGCTAAAAATTGGAGAATCAGACGAAAAAGATGCATAGATAGTAGAAGAATGCAAGTAAACAATTTTTATCCATTCGCGCCGAAGTTTGTATTTAAACGTGTTGGCAAAGTTTTGTTGGTAGGGTGGTAAGTTCTGTGATGAGACGTATGTAACGTGAATTACGTGTGCGTTCATACGTGTATGTTTGTAAGTTCTTCAGTAATGTTGTCTTTTTATGTTTAGATTCACGGAAAAAACGAATTATCAACATCAATTAACCATGATTATTGAGGGTGATGTAAATGGATTACTTTCAAATTCACGGTGAGTTTTTTGATCAATTTACAAAATTTTTATGATCCGGATTTAAATTTAAAAGTTTTTGAAGCTCTTTATCAAATGCTACGTTTGTCACAATATTTCGAATTTGTAGTTGTTGCATTAAATGGCTCCACCACTCATAATTATTTGAGTTATCAGTGATTCACCATTAAATTCCATGCCGGAAGTACTATATGAACCTTTCTTTAGTTCCGTCTTATGATACATTTTTATCGCTCTTACGATCTTCTAGGAATTATGGGAATTAAATCAGCGGTTATAAAGTCATTTTCTCTCTCATGTTTTCTCTCGGAAACTTTCTATTCAAACAATATTTATATTGGAATGAATATAAGCCTATTAAAATAGCTAGCGAGAGCTTGACATTCAATTTTTTCTGTAAAGGCTGATATCCATAAGTTTTTAGGGTT